ATACACCCCATTCATAGATGCACTTGGAGATGAAAGAGAGTGCTCCTCCACAGCGACTATTAGATTGATGAGTAAAATAGCACACTTGGCAAAATAAACCAGACGTGTAAGATCTAGATGTGGCACTGAATTGCTGAGTTAATAAACTGAGCACTATGTTGGACACTCAAAGAGTGGCAAGTCCTCAAGGACACCGCGACCTTGGGTGGCATAGGAGAGGGTTGGAGCACCCCTAGGAGGCAACAGGAACTGGGGCACTTCCTGACCCCTTCCTTGGTGGGCCACTGATGACCCCACATGGGGATCCAGAAGCAACACACTCCCTGTGCTCACTGCCTACCCAAGGGCCCCCGGCTGCTCGTGGGCAGGGCGAGGGGACCATCCTCAGGGTCCTGCAGCCCCAGGGCCCACCATGGCATGGGAAGGGGTTCACTTGAGGAGATTGTGGAGAGGTGGTATCAGGAGGCTGGGGCAGGGTGGGGACTGCAGAGGCTGGGCCTACAGGGCCAAGTCAGTTAGCTGACAGCAGTGACCAGACACCTTAGTGATCATGGCTACCTCCTCTCTGGCTTGGAGTCTGGCCTCCACTATAGCTACAAAACATCATCCAGGGCTAAAGCCCCTAGCAAGGAAGCCAAGGCCCCAGCCTTCTCTGGGAGAATGCAGGAAGGGTTCAGGGCCACGCCTAACTGCCCGTTTCCCTGCACAGCCTTCCCCTGCCCTGTTTGGCCAAGTCAATAGCTTCCAGGATAGACCAGGGCCACTCTCCTTTGTAGGGATACAGGGGCTTGAGCCCCTGCCTGTACCTGAAGTCTTGCAGGCCCAGGGGTCCCACCTTGCATCCCAGGTCCCTCCCTCTTCCCACACCTAGGCTGCAGCCCCAGCAGCTTCCCATTTCCTTAGCTGCAGAGCCTCTTTGAGCAAAAGAGGATGTGGCCCCAGCATAAAAGAGCTCAACGAGGGCAGTTTCGCTCCATCACCCAAGCACTCACGCAGAATCAAGGAAGACAGCTTGTGTGGCAGCGGTAGCCAAGCTCACTGGAGGTCAGCTGAGAGCCCAGACTGTGTCTCAGGCACGGTCCCAGTGTTCCACAGGGCCACTACTTGCTAGGTCCAATCTGCCTTCAGCTCAGGCGCCAGACGGAGCTCCTGACCTCTCTGCACCTCCTCACAGGGTAGGGCAGACACAGATGCTATGGGCTGCAGTGGGGAAGGCAGCCAAGGGGCCAGTGGGTTCACACATGGCCCAGGCCAGGCCCAGCGGGAATGAGTGCCTGTGTCGTGCCGGAGACCCCCCAAGAGCAGAGGCCAGTGCCCTCCAGGAGCCACGCTCAGGTGTGGCACAGGCTCAGAACCATCAGCAGTTTAAAAGCTACCTGGGCCGTGACAGGCTCAGGAAGGGCCCCCAGACTCTGCATGGAGCAGAAGCGGCCAGGCACTGATAGGACCTTGAACCTCAGAACCAGCAACAGGGACCAATGGTGCAGTGGTGACCGGGAGTCGCCTCTGGAGAAGCACAGAGGGCGGGGCATCGGGCACTTCTTAGGCCTGGGTGTGTTCACGGGATCTGGGCAGTGATGCTTAACACACCGGAAGGCACACACCCAGCAGGGCATGGAGCGCATGCCGCCAGCCCAGCTTTCACCTTGTAGCCATGTGACCACAGGTCATACAGGTGCTGAGCCATTGCTCCTGGCAGAAGCATGAGCCAAGTCCAGGGACAGCTTTGGTGAGGACATTCTCAGGACCCGATCAACATGCTATGTCCAGGCTGATGTGGGTTTCTGTCTCGGGCACCTTGCTTAATGTGTGTCACTGCTTGTTGTCACGGAGCACATGGCAGCAGCACTGGGCTCTCACTGACCAAGCCTGTTTTCTCTCTGAGCCACAGCTCCAGTGTGGCCTTTCTTTGATCAGGAATCCAGGCAGCACTTCAGCACTGTGCCAGGTCTGCTTTCAAACCAAATCACAAGGCTAGCTTTGGACATTCCTGTAAGTCCAGCTCTCCAGGAAGCTGAGGCACAAGCACTGCAGGCTCTGGACCAGCCAGGGGAATTTAGCCAGGCCCTGCCTAAAACAGAGTTTTAAAGGGCTGGGGTGTGGCTTCAGGAGAGCCCTGAGGCCTAAGGAATCTCAGCCCTGCAAAACAAAGGAGCCCTGAGGCACTCCATTCTCAGCAGGACCTTGGTCTACAGGGTGGAAGCTGAACCCAAAGGAGGATGGCTCGAGTCCACCTCAGCGGGCACTGGCATATGGAGGACTCAAGCTTTTTGCAGCTCTGACCTGTCCTGGGATGACCGTGAAAGTGCCTCAAGTATTGACCAGGGCCACAGATAAATTGCCTTGAGCAGGCGAATTCACAAGCACAGAATCTGCAGGCATTACTCTGTGCGCCTGCAATGAAGATCAGAGTGTAAAGGCTCCTGCCAGGCCCAGACCCCAACCACAGAACCACATCTGTCCCTTCAAGAAAAGCTGCTGGCCAGGCTCCTTCCCCCCCCCGCCACCCCAAATAGGACATTCACCTGCTGCAGTCAGGTTCAAACAGTGGCACTCGGCAGCTTCTAGGTACAAATGAAGAGAGAGGAGGGGGAGAGAGGATTGTGTCTGGGGCACTCTCATGCCAACTCTCCAGCCAAGTGTGGGGTACACCTGCTGTCCCAGCTGTCCCGAGAGCCTGCCCTGGTGAGGCACAGAAGCCTTCCAGCCCAGCTGCAGAGCAGAGGCAGAGGCCAAGAGTCTGTGCTGCCTTCTCAGGCCCAGCTGTTCAGCAGTAGCAAGACAAGTCCTACCCTTCTCAGAAAGCCTGCCCAAGATGTCAGAGCTGGACGGTGGGTGGATGGGCACCAGGGAGGGTGGGTGGGAAAGCAGATGGATAGGTAGACAGTGGAAGGGTGGGCAGGTGACAGTGTGGGTAGACAAGGGAATAAATAGGTGGAGGGGTGGGTGAAGGCAGGTGAGGGTGGGTGACAGGTGAGGGGGTGGGTGTGTGGAACAGTGGGCAGGTGACGGGGTGGGTGGACATGTTTTCACTGACTTCTCTCTGTGACAGCATCAAGGTCGCTTCAGGGCACCCCAGTAGGACAGGGACTGGAAAGCATTTCAAAAGAAAACTGTCAGAGAGCACTCTGAGTGCTGGACTGACAAAGGAGATGAAACCCAGCCAGGTGCAGCTTGGAGTCCCGGTGGCCCTGGTGGCCCTTCCGCCTGCGGATAGCTGCCTGCTGGCCTCAGGGTCGTCCTGGCTCTGCACACTCTGCCCGCAAGCTGGGAGACTCCCTCCGGGCAGCGCCCACGTCTGCCTGCATGTTCCCAGCACAGCTCGGGCTGGCGGCGCCCCAAGCCCACTCCCCCTCACCCCAGTCTCAGCTTCTGCTCCCCACCAGAGGTAGTGATGAGCTCGCCACGGCTTGCAGCCATAAGGCCACCCCCGTGGTGCTCTGGACGTGGCCACATGAGGGCCTGGTTGGGCCGGACAGGGTCTGCCGGTGCTGGCCACCCACGGCACCTGTACATCCTGGGCCACCTGCTGTGTACAGCCCTTGTGATGGGGCCTTGTGTGACGCAGAAAGCCAGAGCTTTAGGCAGGAGAGCTAAAAACATAGTTCTTCGGTGCTGACACGTAACGCCCAAGCCCAGGCCCTAGGGAAAGGCCCCTCCAGGTCTGGCGTCCCAACCCACAAAGAGCCAGACTTCAGACCTCTGGTGCCAGGCACCCACTCTACTCACAAAGTGCACAGACACCGTCACCCCTGAGTCATCTGCCTGGCCCTCCTGGGGACCCCTCCAGTGTCCCCTGCTGACATCACCTGATTCCCATCACCTGCCCCAGCCTTCAGGGACAGGCACAGGGCCAGCAGGAGCTGTGCTAGGCACTCAGTGCTCCCCACCCACCGTCTGGTCCTTGCCCCTGACTGTGAGTCTCCTGGATAGGCAGCCCGGGACCCTTCTCTGCCCCTGCCAGGCCCTTCTGTGTGGGCCCAGCATGGGTGGATGAGAGCAGAATGAGCAAAGGCACCCACAGCCACACCACACTGCTTTCCAGGTGTGCCCCGGTCCAGCCAGGCCAAAGACCTTCTGGATCAACTCCCCCCATGACCAGGCCTTGAAGTCAGGTGCCGGCTCAGCACAGGTGAGTCCACCTGACCACAGCCTTCTCTCAGGAGGTGCCAGAGCCAGGTCACACTGGAGTCCCCAAGACACCTGTAAGCCCAAATCCAGTTCCTAAGAGGACAGGAAGGTTCGGTGCAGAGGGTCATGGTCTGAGCCAGGAGCCAGCCTGAAAGGGTAGGAAGCCTCCCAGGCAGGCTTGCCTGTCAGGCCTGGCGCACTCCAAGAACAGCCTGTGACTGCAGGCCTGGAGGGCTTCCAGGAGCCAGCTGGCCCTACCCAACAGGCTCCCAGGCACACCCGGCCCTCCAGCCCTCCTTTGGCACAGGCTGGCTGGCCAGGCTAAGAGACTGAGGCCAGGGAGTGGAAGCAGAGGGTGGGCTGAACACCAGAGGTTCGGCAGCTGGTCGGGAGCACTCCCTGGGCCTGGGCAGCAAGGCTCTCAGAGGTCAAAGTGAGTGCAGACCCTTCTCCCTGGGTTCACACCCTCCTCACGCAGCTGGGGAATCAGGCTCAGCAGCCTAAGTCCAGCCTGTAGACAGCCGGCTCAGCAGCAGGGCCTCCCTCAGGGCCAGCCTGGTGCAGGAGGGCTCTGGGCAGCTAAGAGCCACCTCCCACGATGGACCCCCACAGCGGGGACACGTGTGGGCTTGAGCGGGGCTCCCAGAGGAGGACAGAGGGAGAGGGAGGCGAAACCCACCCACCGCCTCAGTGAGAGACCCACCCAGGATGTGCTGGCCGAAGCTGCAGGGCCGGGAGTCACCCCGGCATCCTGCATCCGCCCTCCGGGATGCCATGGGCTGCGACTCCAGGGATCCCTCCCCGCCCCTCCGGCACCGCCCCCCACGTGACCCAGGATGGGCGGGGCGGCACCTCCCTTTCCTCCCCGCCCAGGCGGAGCGCGCGATCCTGTACTGCACGGAGCACCCTCGTGCCCCGCCAACTCGGTCGTCCTCGTGGAACACGCACCACCCGCGCCGCCCACCGGTGAGTCCGAGGCTCCGGGCGCCCCTGCAGTCGGGGGTAAACTGAGTCCGGAGGCAGCGAGGGCGCGCGTGGGGCTGGGGACTGAGCTCTGGTAGCCGCGGGGGCGCCCCGGTTGCCAGCAAGCTGCCGCCTCCAGCGGGAACCCGACTCCGGAGGGATCCGAGAGCTAGGGCAGGGTGGGGTCGGGGTCCGCCGCCCGCAGCTACCACATCCTGAGGGTGAATCAGCTGCAGTTCAGAAATAAACTTCTACTCGGTCCACCGCCCGCCCGCTGGGCGGCACCCGAGGCTGCAGGCCGTGGAGAGCGAGCCCCGCGCTCGGCAGAAGAGGGCGAGACTGTGCCTCCAACCCTGCCCGGCGAGGGACCTCAGAAAAGACGGCTGTGTCGCCCCCCGCAGCACAGGCGGGATCGCGGCCCTGTGGGTCGCTCAAGGCTGCGCAGCGCAGGCCGCGGGTTAGCGCTGTCCGGGCTGGACTGGCGCAGGAGTCCTGCTAAAACAGCCCAAACCCGCCAGGGCCAGAGGTCGGCACGCCCACGCCACACCAAGTTGTTGGCAAGTTCCGTCCCCACCTGCCCTGCTCCTCCCCTTGCTCTGTCTAGGCGTCGATTTCCCGTCTGCTTCAGGAGTGGGGAGAGGCTTGCACCTTCTCCCTGCAAGAGGATGGTGGGGACCCAGAGCGGCCCTCCAGACCTCCCGGGGCGCGGGGTGGAGGTGCCTGGGAGCAGTGCTGTGTTTGGTTCCAGGGCTGTCCCCACCCACCAGGGCAGCAGGAACTTGTTTAAAAAGGAGGCAAATTCCTCCTCAGACCTCAAACCAGGTCTGAGCTGATCACTGCTCTCTCACTTTGTCCTCAGGAACCCCGAACTCTAGGTGGTCAGGGGCCCCCTGGGCAGACCCTGGGGGCGTCATGGGGATTGAGTGGGCCCAGGCTGGCTGCTGTGGAGGGCTGCACTGGGCCTGCTGGCAGAACGCTAGCCTGCAGAGCTGCGCGGTGGCGCTGGGTGCTGTCAGCTAATCGCACTCAGCCTGCTTGCAGGGACTAGGATGCAAAGCTCTGCCTTAAATAGACTCCTGCCTTCCATCAGAGTGCTGCTGTTCCCAGGTGGAAGTCGTGGGCTTCTGGGTGTCACACAGTGCAGACGGGACACCCAGGGACAGCCTGGGGGTTGTGGGCTCAAACCCCCTCATTCGAATGCCAGTGTCATGGTGCTGGCTCTGCAGCCTGACCCTGTGCCTGCTTGATGCACACAGGTATCTGATGGGTACATGGGGCAGTGGTGGTGGACACTGTATTGGGTAGTGGGACCCAGGTAGAGCCACGCCTGGGGACTTGTGACACCCAGGAGTGAGAGCAGGGCTGGTGTGTGACCTCCTTTTGTGGAGGCCTCCACCTTGCCTGGCTTGCCCACATACGGAGGGCCCTTGGCAGCCTGAGTCCTCAGTCTGCCTGGCTGCCCACGCCTCTGTGGTCAAAGCTGTCCATGTGGAGCCAGGCTTGGCTGGGCTAGCTGGGCCTGCTCTCTTGTGGGCTTGTTGCTCAACCTCTCTTACAGCCTCTATTTAAGGTGTGATTAAATAAAGAACTGTCAGATGAGGAAACTGAGGCACAGGCAGCTGAGTGCACTCTAACCCTTTTCTGGGATACTCTTTTTTTTTTTTTTTTTGCGGAACCAGGGATTGAACTCAGATCCTTGCGTTTGCCGGTCAAGCGCTTATCCTACTGAGCCATCTCCCTGGCCCCTCTGGGATACTCTTAATGCCCTGTGTCCACCTCAGCTGGGAAAGATGGGGCTGGGCGCTGCCACCCTGGAAGTCAGAGGGCTTTGTTCAGGCCACGTGGCCCTTCTGGGCCTCCCCTGATGAATGTGCCCTGGCCCCTGTTCCCGGAACAGCCCAGGGAGAAGCTCTGGGCCCCTCTGGTCATGGTCCATCCCACTGATGCATGGGGTAAATCCCCTTCTGGTAGTGACAAAGCCAAGGCCGTCCATGCTCTGAGAACAGGATGAACTTTCCTGTCCTGTTCACTTCCTCCTCCTCATGTGGCTTTTCCCAATGGTAGGAAGCAGAGCAGGCCACTGCCAGCCTCTGTGCCCCCAGCAGTGCTGCGCACAGGAGGGGCAGGCTGCTGTGGCAGGGCAGGGTGAAAGCCCCTGCAGGGCTGGGGAGCAGACAGTGGAGACACCTGTCTGCACTGCCATGGATCCCCCCGCACCTCCGTGTGGGGACCCAGCCTGCGCCTGCTGCACAGTGGTAGGAGGGACCCCTGGTGGGAGGCCTGGCTCCTGAGGCTGTGGCCTGGGCCAGGCTCACCATGGAGGCTGAGAATGCTCAGCCAGCTGCATGGCCTGCACTGCCAGGAGGCCAGGCTGCTCTGGGCCAAGGGGAGGCCCTCAATGGCTGGGGTCCCAGAGAAAGATCACGGGAGGTAGAGCAGGCTCTGGTCCTATTGTACCACTGAGGCCTGACACGAAAGCCCAGTGTTGAGACAGCTAGGATGCAGCGGGCCAGGAGGAGCAGGCAGGCGCTCCTGGGGACTGACCCACATCCCTTCCAGGCCCCCAAGGCCATGGGCAGAGGCCAAGCCAGGCCCTGGCTGTGCCCACCTTGGCAGTGGTTTCTCTGCAGGGCCTGCTGCTGGCTGGCCTTGCCCACAGTGCCTGGGCACTGCCCAGCTGTGTAAGGAAGGCTGGCATCCTGTGGCCTTGTCACCTGTCTTTGCCTGGCCCAGGTCCTCTCAGGTCGTGGGTGTGGCCTTTGTGTGCAGCCTCCCCCTCCCCACGTTCCCACATCCCTGAGTCTGTGTTCCTGCTCCAAGTACAGCTCGGCTCTGCCACCTGCACCCAGCAGCAGGAGGCGGGCATCTGCTCTCCACAGCCCACAGGGAGAGGGCACTGCTGGTGCCCTGGCTGTCTCCACCTCCCACACCCCCAAGGGGTCTAAGAACAAGGTCCTCGATGGCCCTGTATGTGGGTGCTGGGGGCCGGGCTGTCCTCTACAAGTGGCAGAGCCAGGACATGAGGGGTGCAGCCTGGATGGAGACTGTAGGCACTCGGCCAGCAGTGGTGGGTCCAGGTCCTGGCCTTTCCCCGGGGATGGAAGCCAGGGCCAGTCTTTGTGAATTTGTTATGTTGAGACAGAGTCTCACTGAGTTGCCAAGGCAGGACTCAAACTTTCAATCCTCCTGCCTCAGCCCCTGTGTTGCGATCGCAGGCTTGTGCCCTGTCCCCAGCTTCCTTGATGCTTTCTAGATGAGCAAAGTGAGCCCAGAACAGGCTGGCTTTCCCAGGGGCCTGGTACCCTCAAGTCTCAGCCAGGGACGCCAAGAGGTATGTTGCACCCACGCTGAGGATGTCATCACCTGGTTGGGCCTGACAGGCTGCTGGTGTTGACTGCCTGGGCCAGGTGGATGAGTGGGGTCTGGGGAGACGCCTGCACAGGCCTAGCTCAGTCCCGGCTGCCAGCCAGGAGGCCTGCTGAGTGGACAGGGCAGTCAGGGCCCAGCCCTTCCCTGTAGTTTCCAGGCCTGCTTCCCTATGTCGTCAACTCATGTCGACACACAGGGTCAGGAGATGCAGTGGTTGTCCCTGGGTCTGTGGCGGCAGAGCTTCCTCCTGCCCAGAGTCCGAGCTGTCCGCCGCCCAGATCTTGGCAGCTACAGTGGCCGTGCTGGGGTGTGCGGGCTCCGGCCCTCCCCCACTCTCAATCTGTCTTTGTTCTTTCTGCCCCTGGAAAGGCAGCCTGGAACTGAGACACAGGCGAGGGGCAGGGACCTCAGACTGGCAGCAAGCAGGACCTTCATCCAAACCCACCATTCTGCTGGGCTGGGAGAGGCCTTTCCAGAGGACAGCAGAGAACCAGAGGGACATAGGGGCCATCTGGAGGGGAGTCTCCAAGGCATCCAGTCCTGCAGGCAGAGGCACCCAGGGGTGGCCTGAGGTCTCTTGGTGCACACCCTGCTCCGTTGAAGTCCCTGCAGGAGTAAGGAAGCTGGGCTGGGCACCAGAAGAGACCGCTGCTCCAGTTATCCTGCCCTGCCAGGCCCAAGACCCTCACTACCCTCCATGTCTGCCAGTGGGGCCACCACAGAGGTGCCGTGCTCAGAGCATGTCCTTGTCACCCCCGAAACCTCCACATCAGAACCCTGAAAACATTAGGGGCCAGGGCCTCTCAGAGTCAACACTGGCCCTGCTGTTTGCAGCAGGGGAGACTGGGCCCTGGGCCTCATAGGACAGCGAGTCCCAGGCAGCCTGGGCCTGCAGCATCTTACAGCAGGTGGAAGCGAAAGCCGGCTTCCTGGTTCAGGGCCACCACCCTTCCTGTCCTCCTAGGGGAGGACCCTGAGACCACTCAGTCCGTGCACCAAACCCCAGTGTGTGGTGCCCAGCAGAAGTGTGCAGCGCAGGGGCAGCACCACTGCTCCAGCAGTTCCTGTTTCCTGCTTCTGTTGGCCCTAAGCCGGTGTCCTGATGACAGAGGTGTCGCCCCACGTGTGGCTGTAGTTCTACTTGATGCTTCTGCTCCCTGGTTTTGCTTTTCAGCCTGGCACTGGGAGACCACTGTCATGCCCGCTCCCCCCGGGCCCTTTGTCCTGGCCAGCAGCTGCAGTGGGGCACAGGGCCCTCTTCGCACAGCAGCAGGCTCAGGGGACCATGCTGACCTAGGCTGCAGGTGGCCACTGGGTGTTCCAGGCCTACTCTGCACAGGACCCCTGCCTGGGCGAGCCTGCTGCAGGGGACCCTATAGGCCAGCCCTGGCCCCTCAGGGGCCTTGCAGCCTGCAGGAGGAAGTCAGGGATGGGCTACCCCCAACCTCAGGAGTAGTCAGGGCTGCATGCAGCTCTGGAGAGCTGAGGGCTGCCAGGCAGTGGAAAAATTTAGGTTCTTGTGGGAGCTAAAAATAGCATTACAGCCCCTGCCTCCCAGTTCCGGAATCCCGCTCCTGTGTTCCTCTACCCACCCCTGGAAGACAGCTCCCTCCCTGCCCACCCCCGCCCCTGCTTCTCCAGCTCTGGGCCTGGAAGCATCCCAGCTCTTGTTCTGGTGCTGCTAGCGCCCTCCAAGCTGCCTCTCCACCCCAAGTGCCCATGCCCACCTCTGTCTCAGGGTCCTGGCCAGCAGGGACAGGACATTTCATACCACCCACCTCCTCAGGGCCGAGGCTGAAAGTGGCTGCTCCTGTCCCTGGGAGTCCTGGGTCTCCGGGCCTAGTGTAGAGAGAAGCTTCTGCCACCTGGGAGGCACTAAGACTGTGGTCCCTCCCACTGCCAAGTACACCTCAGCCCACCTGGGCTGCCCACCCGCCCTGGGATTCTGTGTGTGCAGTGGGGGTCAGGCAGACCACCTCTGAGGTCTGGGACACCCTTGGCCCTACTTCTCCAACCCACAGGGTGGGTGACAACCCCCAGCCAGGGTGGTGGCCTCACAGTGTCTGAGTCAGCGCAGCTGCCTGGGCATGCAGAGTGGAGGATGAGCATCACCATGCCAGGCTGGCCAGGCGCTGGCCCAAGTCCCTCCCTCTCCAGGGAGCTGAGTGGTCGCTTGGATCAGGGCCGGCCCCTGGTGGCCCTGCAGAAGACCCGCCTGCAGGAAAGCCTGGTCATGTCGGGCAGGGGGGATTACCCTGTGCACAGCAGATAAAGCAGAAGCTGAGAAGCCACAGTGACTGCTCCTTCTGGTGGGGGTGAGCCGGGAGTTCACGCTCAGGGTTTCATGGTGGAACCCCCGTTGCAGCAGTTTTTCGGGGCCAGGGTTGTACTGTGTGTGGCACACAAGGCGCATTCTCCACTCTCCCCAACACTGACTGTGACGACTTGGGCCTGGGTTGCGCTAGATGAAGCCTGCAAAGGCAAATTTGTGCCCCAGGCCCTGCCCTGAGGCCACACCCCCAAACCACAGGCTTGAGCTGAGCCCCAACCCCACCCTGTCTCCTTGCACCTGCCAGGCCTCCTGGGAGCCAGACGCCCAGCCCACACGCTGGGCAGACTAGAGGCAGCGGGCCAGGCATCCTGTCAGACGGCACCCACTGGGGCGTGGTTCTGCACACCTGTAACCCCAGCCCTCTGGAGGCTGAGACAGGGGGATTGCTTAGGGTTCACAACCAGTCTGGACTAGAAAGCAAGCTTGAGCCCAGCCTGAGCGGTATAGCCAGACCTTGTCTCAAAAGACAAAAATAAATAAATAAACAAACAGGCCGTGCATTCCAAATGCTCCCTGTGTGCCTGCTGGCTCCTGGTCCCCACACTGCAGATGAGAACAGAGGAGTAGGATATCTTGTAGGGCCCACAGCTGGCATGCCCAGGAAGAAGCTTCACCTTGGCTGGCACTAGTGCCAGCTGGGGTTTGCACTGAGTGCAATAAACTGGTTCTCAGCCTCCTGTGCCCTGGGGCTGGCAGGGCTGTGTTCAAGGGATGGCAGAGACCTGAGGGCGAGCACAGAGGGAAGAGCTTTCAGGAAGGCTGGGGTGCCCCGTGTAGAGGCCGATGGGAAGCAGGGCCTCCTGTGTACTGGGCTTTGTCATCTTCCTGTTGGTCCTAAATTGACACCTGGGACTAAAATTATGGAAGCTGCTGATATTGATGAAGTCCCCACAGTAGTACATGGTTTCTGGATGTTGGCTATAGGGTGTGGGTCAGCGTGTGTATCTGCCAGGTTGGCCACCGCCTGGGGAGTCTGTGTCACCCTCAAAGAAGCAGGACATTTCTAGGGTCACGGCCCTGGTCAGAGCCTAACCCTATGAGCCTGAGCAAGTTGCTGGCGTCAGCTGGGCCTCCAGCTGAGCTTGCCTTCCCAGCTAGACACAGTCCTCGCTGGGCTACAGCTAGCCGAGCTGGCTCCAGGGCACAGCCAGCTGCCTCCTGCTGCGGTGCCACCCCTCAGGCAAGCCCATTAGCTGGCATCTTTTAGGGAGCTGTAGTGCTAGCAACAAGGGGTGCACTGGCAGGAAGACTAGGCAGTGCCAGGGGCAGTGCTGAATCAGCAGGCCCCTGACCTTCGTATCTGGGGCCTGGACGTGGCAGCTGTGGGTGGCCCTGCTGTGTCAGATCAAGTCCTTCCATTTGGAGAGCACCAGGCCCCGAGCCAGAGTGGACACTGTGGAGGCTGAGGCCTGACTAGAAGGGCTCATGCCTTATCCACTTGGCCTGTGCCAAGTGGGCAGGGACTCAGGCCAGCAGGGCAGAGGGTGGGTGGGGAAGGGAGGGCCTGTGCCAGGCACCTCCCCAGGCAGCCACACAAGGTGGGGCCCAGCACCCAGAGGCTGCTCGGTCCAGCTCCTTCTCACAGTGGGGCCTTGGTGACTGAGGCAGTGCAGTCTGCAGCCATGAGAAGCCTGAGGCAGGGCCCGGAATGGGTGGGCAGGGGTGGCCGCAAGGTCTTGCGCATCTGGGTGAGTAGACACGGGAGGTGGCCAAGGGCCTTGCCTGGGGGGTAGATGTGGGAGTCAGGGAGGACTGCGGCTCCTCGCCTTCTGAGGCCTTGCCCAGGGGCCCAGGCTGTGGGGCTGGGAAGGGTGTGGAATCCACCAGGCACTCCTAGTACCCACAGGCCCAAGGCCAGAGGTACAGCTTTGGAAACAGGCTTCAGTGGCGAGACCAGGTTGTGGGTGGTGCCCAAACTGGGTCCATGCACAGGACAGTCCTCTTGCCCGCTTCCTAGCTCTGTAGGGCAGCTACACAGGCAGATGGTGAGGGGCTGGACAGGACCTCGTTCTGTGCTCTGCACAGGCAAGGACCCTGCAGGACCCTCACCCAAGCAACAGTGGGCCTGAGGACCCAGGGCCGGCTGATGGGTTCATGTCCCCTGTCCTGCTCAGCCTCCTGGGTGGCCTTGGGTGGCCCATTAGGGTGTTGGCTTCCTGGGTTGGGTGGGACGTACAGCAGATCTGCGCTGGACACAAGTGCATAGACTCCGGGTAACTGGGGTCCAGCCACAGCTCCACTGTCCCCCTCCATGGGGGACATGAGGCATGAGATCTGCCTTCCCCAGGTGTTTCCTCTGTGGCCCATGCATCCACTTGGGCAGAGTGTGGGATGGAGGCCTTCAGACGGGGCTGAGTCCACCCAGCGCTGCCTGCTGGGTTCACCCTCCCACAGCTCCATGGTGCCATTCTCAGGCCCTAAATAGAAGATCACAGCCATACATGGTTGCAGGAGGGCCTGGGATGCCCCTGACCTCTGCAACTGTCCCTAGAGACTGCAGTGGGGACAGAGTGGCAGCCAGCTAGGCCTAGGCTGGAAGGCCGGGTGCAGTGGTTCAGCCTAGGGAAAATCATCTTTTGGGGCCCAGTGCCAGCACATCTGTGCCCCTCCATAACTGTGGTCTGAGAGGCGGCCCCCTGACCACCAGGGTGAGTCCTGGGCATTTCCTCACTCAGAGCCCGAGGCTACCCCGTGGCTGGCCCTGGGGCCTATCCTCTCCTCGCTTCAGAGTGCGTGGGCGCTTGGGACTGTCAGAAGTGCAGTCAGCCGCACAGTCACAGCATAGTCAGTGGGGTTCCAGCCAGGGTAGCCGCCCACTTGGCCTCCACAAGCCTCCAAGGCAGGGAGTACAGGGAGATGCAGTTCACCTCTGTTAGTGACGCAGGCGTGGGATGTGCCCACCTGTTCTAGGGTCCTCGTGGTCACTGGGGGGGCCCTGCCCTCTGACCTTCCCAACCTCTCAGCAGGAAGCACAGTGGAGAAACTGAAGTGGAGGACAGTTTCTGCCTGCCCTTGCTGGCTGTGCTGAGCCCTGCCTCTCAGCCGTGGGTCCCTGCCTCCCCGACTGTGCTGACCATCACCTCCCCATCCTGCCTGCAGTTTGACAAGATGTCGGTGAAGGAGGGCGCGCAGCGCAAGTGGGCGGCGCTGAAGGAGAAGCTGGGGCCGCAGGACTCGGACCCCACAGAGGCCAACCTGGAGAGTGCTGAGCCCGAGCTGTGCATCCGGCTGCTGCAGATGCCCTCCGTGGTCAACTACTCAGGGCTGCGCAAGCGGCTGGAGAGCAGCGATGGGGGCTGGATGGTGCAGTTCCTGGAGCAGAGCGGCCTGGACCTGCTGCTCGAGGCCCTGGCGCGGTTGTCGGGCCGCGGGGTGTCGCGCATTGCTGACGCTCTGCTGCAGCTGACCTGCGTGAGCTGCGTGCGCGCCGTCCTGAACTCGCAGCCAGGCATCGGGTACATCCTCAGCAACCAGGGCTACGTGCGCCAGCTCTCCCTGGGTGAGCACCTGGAGGGGGCAGAGGATGTCCCCTCCATTTGCACCTGGCTGTTCCCCTGTTCCTTCTGTCCTGTGACTCTACCAACCCTGCAGAGGGAGGGGAGAAACCCTCAGCCCCCAGGTCCTGGTTTATATGGTGCCCCCTGGCTCCCCGAATGCCCTTCCTGGCTTCCAGCCCTTTCACTTAGCTGGCCAAGTACAAGTATAGCTCCCATCTCTGTTGGTTTACACCACTTCCTCTTGGAAGTCTCCTGGACCCAAACCTGGCAAGAGTCCCTTTCTGGGTAGTGGTTTCATATGTCCTTTGTCCACCCATTGCCCTCTTCCAGGGTGGCAGCCAGGCCCCATAGCGGTTCCAGGGCTGGCTGGGGAGTGCTGTCAGTGACAGATCAGGGCCATGGAGGGTGGCTGGGTGACTAGAGGCTACCCTCTGTCCAACCCTGGGCTCAGCTGTTCAGCCTGTCAGGGCTTCCATCTGGGCACCCGGCCAGGGCTAGACAAGATGGTCCCCAAACTTGCCCAGCACAGAATGGGGTAGGACTCCAGAGTTCATAGAACAAAGATGCATTCCAGGTTGTCTGTCCTAGCGCACTTAGCACTGTTTGGGGAAAACCTGCAGCCAGCACCAGCAGCAGGGGCTGGGCCAGCCCCAGAGGACTAGTCACCTTCTCCAGCCGCCAAGTTCTCCTGGCAGGGTAGCCGGGGTGTGGGAGGCAGTGTCCAGACATCAGGAGTCAGCAGGCCAGGCCCCAGTTTCCAGCCGTCAGGCAACGGCTCGCATGAGCCAGGCTGGCCAGGAGGGTAGTCAGTGGGCCTGCTGATAACCACCCGCCTCTGCAGCGCTGGACACATCCAACGTGATGGTCAAGAAGCAGGTGTTTGAGCTACTGGCCGCCCTGTGCATCTATTCACCTGAGGGCCACACGCTGACACTGGATGCCCTGGACCACTACAAGGTGAGTGTGGCCCCGGCTGGGTGTGGATGCCCTGCCTGGATGATGCTCATGTGCCTACTCCACAGACGGTGTGCAGCCAGCAGTACCGCTTCAGTGTCATCATGAACGAGCTGTCTGACAGCGACAACGTGCCCTATGTCGTCACCCTGCTTAGCGTGATCAATGCCATTATCCTGGGCCCCGAGGACCTCCGAATCCGTACCCAGCTGCGGTGCGAGTTCATTGGTAACCACCCACTTGGCGGCCCCTTGCCTCCCCTGTTCCTGTTCTGTCCCCAAAGAAGGCACTGTCAGAGGGCCCAGAGCTTCCTGCCACTTCCTGCCTTGGTAACTCGGGCCTTGGAACTCCTGGGTGTCAGCCCTTTGGGCTCCAATCCAAGACGGGCTGGGCAATGGAGGAGGCAGTGGCCGGCGAACAGGCACTCTGGGTGTCTAGAGCACTGTCCCTTCTGGCCCCTCACATCTTGTGAGTGGGTGCCGTGTGTGGGAGAAGTGGCCAGGGAGGGGAAGTGAAGGAGATACTGTAAGCCAGGTGCTGCTGTCGGGTTGTCCAGCAGCAGCCTCCAAGCCCTCTGACCCATTGTCCCTCCCTAGGATTGCAGCTGCTAGACATTCTGACCCGGTTCAGGTGAGTCCCACTGTCGCTGCCCCCGAGGTCCTTCCCATCCAGGCCCCTTCCGTGGTGTCCCAGCCGCCTGGCCAGGGACCAAGATGACTTCTGGAACTGCCCTGTGGCATACCCTGGGCCAGCTGTCAGGTGGTGCTGTAGAAACGAGGCTTCCAGGTCCAGCACAGGACACCCACTTAATGCCAGCGGCAGACACGTGACAAAGTGTTAGTGTGAGCACGTCCTCAATGCAGCGCGGGTCACACTTACAGAACAGTCTGTCTCACTGCCTGCAACCCAGAGAAACATGTCCTAGTGGGCAGGGGCTCGGCTAGCACCACCTCAAGGGTGTCAGTGCCAGGAGTGCCAAGGTGGGGTGCTGAGGGCTCTGCGCATAGGCCAGGTAAAACCAATGATGCCCTCAGTCCTAGCCAGGCCCTGCCACTGCAGCTGTGGAGGACTGGCCCTAAGGGAGGGCTTGGTCTTGCCCTTGCCCTCCGAGGCTATGTGGAGACACCAAGGACCCTGGCAGCACGTGAGGCTCAGACCTATGGGCCTGCACTCTCTGGCTGCATCCGGAGCCTAGGTCAGCAGCAGGCCTCTGTGCCTAGGGACCTGGAGGACGCTGACCTGCTGATCCAGCTGGAGGCCTTTGAAGAGGCCAAGGCAGAGGATGAGGAGGAGCTGCTGCGCATGTATGATGGCATCAACATGAACAGCCACCAGGAGGTCTTCGCCTCACTCTTCCACAAGGTGGGCCTGGGCAGGGTGGGAGAAGGCCCTGGAGACAGAGACCTGCTGTGTCCCCAGCAGTGGCAGAGCTGGAGTCATGCTGCAGGTGGATGGCAGCTGTGCTGCCCAGGACCAGGTCTGTGCTGTCCTGAGCCCAGCTGGCCAGCCAGCATCAGGGTCACGAGCCCTGAGCCCAGTAGCCCTCAGCTGGAGCATGTGTGCCTGGTGTCATCCAGCAATATCTAGAAACACCTTTGTTTGTCACCACTGGCAGGGTGTGCTCCGAGCAGGAGTATGGAGACCCCATAACACATAGAGCAGTCTCTGATGTCACCAGGAGTGCAGAGGGGTGTGGGGTGCACGCCTTGTTCAGGTGGTGGAGGGTGCTGACCTGGCCCTGGTCTCACCTGCTCAGGTGAGCTGCTCCCCAGCGTCGGCCCAGTTATTGTCCGTGCTACAGGGCCTCTTGCACCTGGAGCCCTCCGGCCGCACCGGCCAGCTGCTCTGGGAAGCCCTGGAGAGCCTGGTGAACCGGGCTGTGCTCCTGGCCAGCGATGGTGAGTGGCAGGGTGCACAGAGGGCACAGCCTGCTGCTTAGGCCCTGCAGGGAGGCCAGCCTGTGCCAGCCATCCCTGACCTACACCTTCTGCCCTTCCCCTGTTCTGGCCTCTCCCTTGACCTGAGCATCCCTTGTCATGTTGTAGCCCAGGAATGCACCCTGGAGGAGGTGGTCGAGCGGCTGCTGGCTGGCAAAGGGCGCCCCCGTCGGGGCCCCCTGGACCAGGCCCACAAAAGTGTCCAGGCCGACCTTGACGAGAGCCAGAAGGACAAGCCCCCCCACAGCATTACTGCCCCTGTGACTGGCATGGGTGCCCCACAGCAAGCAGTGGCTCCTGTCTGCCAGCAGATGGCCAGTGCCTGGAGCTCCAGCATGACAGCCACACAGCCCCCAGCGCCCCTGCAGAGGGCGCCCAGCCCACCCGCTCCCGCACCCCCACTCCCAGGTCCTACCACCCAGCCCCCCCTACAGCCCCTACCAGGCCTGGGGGCTATGCCTCCCTCTCTTCTACCCCCACCTCCTCCCCCTCCTCCTCCCCTGCCCAGCCTAGGTGCTAAATCTCCCCCAGTACCCCCACCTGCACCCCCTCTACCGGGCTTTGGTGGTGCCCTGCCTCCACCCCCTCCCCCTCCCCTGCCCAGCCTGGGAGGCTCATTCTCTACACCCCCACCTGCACCCCCTCTGCCGGGCTTTGGCGGTGCCCTGCCTCCACCCCCTCCCCCTCCACTCCCAGTCACAGGGTGCCCTCCACCTCCCCCACTGCCCAGCACCATGGGACTCCCCATGGCAGCTGGCATGGAGGAGATCATTGTGGTACAGGTGGACCACGGCCTGGGCTCCACCTGGGTCCCCAGCCACCGCCGGGTAAACCCCCCAACGCTGCGGATGAAGAAGCTCAACTGGCAGAAACTGCCATCCCACGTGGCCCGAGGTGAGGCCCGCAGCACCAGGTGGCTGCCCTGGAGGGCTCTGAGAAGGGGCAGCCAGGTAGTTGCAGGCTGTCCTCCCCGCAGCCGTGAGGTGCCCTCCATTCGCTGGAGCAACCCAGCCCCGTGGGCTTTGCCTGCTCAGCACAGTGGCATGCACACAGGTGCCTCCGCACATGTGGGTGCGGGGCAGCAGCTGGGGGTGTGTTGAGCCACTTTGTACCTCACCTGGCCCTGAGCCTAGGCCTGAGGCAACCCCTCCCTGCAGAGCACAACTCCATGTGGGCCACACTGAGCAGCCCAGGCTCTGAGCAGGTGGAGCCCGACTTTGGCAGCATCGAGCGGCTCTTCTCCTTCCCCACCGTCAAACCCAAGGAGCTCACAGCTGCCCCGGCCAGGAAGGAGCCCAAGGAGGTGGGGCCAGGCCAGCCTGAGCTGGGCGGGCTGGACAGGGCCGCCTGCTGCTGCCCTCCAGGTTCCAGCCTTGCTGGGTCTTCCAGGTCACATTTCTGGACGCTAAGAAGAGCCTGAATCTCAACATCTTCCTGAAGCAGTTTAAATGGTGAGGGTGGTTCCAGGCTCGGGCCAACCTGGCACCCCACTCAGCCCTGAGGAAGCCTGGCCGGACAGTGCCCTCTGGAGGCTGCCCTGGGGCAGTGCAGCTCCATCCTGCGGTTGCCCCACCTAGGGGGGCGTCAACTGCTCCGCTGCCCCACCCATGAGATAATGGGGTAGGACACTGGAGCAGCTGGGTTGCCAGGTCACAGACAAGCCTGATGGTCAGGGTGAGGGTCCCACGACCTCCCCTGTTACAGGGTTCCACAACAGTGGGCGGGGGGGGGCGATGGCTGGTTCCCCGAGCCACCTGGGAAGGGAGACAGACGGGAAGCATGTTATTCAGCCTGAGGCTCATTTTCTCAGTGACACTGGACAAACAGCTTCGGCTCCACTTGCCTGCCACGCCGCAGGGAGGTGTCTGGGGGACCCCTCAGCAGTTCCCATCCTCTCACCCCTCCAGCTCCAACGAGGAGGTCACTGCCATGATCCGGGCTGGGAACACAGCAAAGTTTGATGTGGAGGTTCTCAAACAGCTCCTGAGGCTCCTTCCAGAGAACCATGAGGTCAGCGGAGCCCCACGCCGTAGAGAGGACAGGGGGGCCTGTCCTTCCTCTCTGCAGGGATAGGAAAGGGAAGGGGAGGGCCAGGCCACCCTGCCTAAAGCAGTGAGGACACAGGCTCAGAGAAGGCAGTGCAGGAGGGCTTCCTGGGAGGGCAGGAGTTGGTGTCCATGCACGCCTGTGCGTGTGTGTACAAGTATGTTAACACACGTGCACGCAGCAAGTCGCACCCATGGGCCTCCTTCCACAGATCGAGAACCTTCGGGCATTCACAGAGGAGCGGGCCAAGTTGGCCAGTGCTGACCAGTTTTACGTTCTCCTGCTGGACATTCCCTGGTGAGTAGGGAAGCGAGTCCAGCATGATGCGGTAGGGCTATGAAGATGATGCCCTCTTCCCCAGCCCTTGCCGGCAAAGAAAAGGGCCTGGGCCTCTTGAGGGGTCCCCGAAGATGCCAGGGTCTTCCTGGGAAGGCCTTCTACACCCCCAGCACCTCAGCCGCCAGCTGTGAAGAATCAGGCCTGGGGGGATCTGCCAATCTTAATGAGAAACGGAGCTAGTGCTCTGTGCCCAGCGGACACTGCGCAGGACAGCCTGGCACTGACCTGGCTCTCATGGCAGCTACCAGCTCCGGATCGAGTGCATGCAGCTGTACGAGGGCACAGCCGTCGTGCTGGACATGGTGCGGCCCAAGGCGCAGCTGGTTCTCAGCGCCTGTGAGAGTGAGTGAAGCCAGGGAGGCAGAAGGGTGGGCCACTGCACAGGAGGGGGCAGACGGGCCCCTGCTGCCACCATCAGGATGGTTGCTGAGAGCAGCAAGGTGGCAGCTTTCAGGGTGGTGCCTTGCTAAGCTGGAGGCGGTAGGGACGGAGTGGAGACACCAGCCCCCACACTGGCAAGGGGGCCCCAGGCCTGCCCTCACTGCTGCCCACCTTTCAGGCCTGCTTCGCAGCCACCGGCTGCCTATCTTCTGCCATCTGATCCTAAAGATCGGGAACTTCCTCAACTATGTGAGTTGGAGGTGGCCCTGACCTGTGCCCGGCCTGGGGAGGCAGAGGATTCACACCCAGTCCCTCGCAGGGCAGCCACACAGGGGATGCTGATGGCTTCAAGATCAGTACCCTGTTGAAGCTGACAGAGACCAAGTCTCAGCAGAATCGCGTGACGCTACTGCACCATGTGCTGGAGGTGGGTGGGCCGCTGGGGACTGGGGGGTAGGTACAGCCTCCCTGCTGCAGCCCCTGTCTCTCCCAGGCTCTGTCTGGTGGGGGCAGTTCCTAAGAACAGCTGAAACATTACAGGATCATGGCCAGGATCCAGGAGGCCCTGGGTTGAGCTTTTTTTTTTTTTTTCTTTGCGGAACCAGGGTTGAACTCAGGCCCTTGTGCTTACCAGGCAAGCGCTTATTCTACTGAACCATCTCCCCAGCCCTGGTCTAGCATTTTCTGATCCTTGGTTGCTAAGGGTGGTAGCTGGGGGCAGCCCAGGTGCAGGTGGCAGCCCAGATGCAGGTGGCCAAGCTGAGTCTCCCCAACACACCCTGTTGCAGGAAGTGGAAAAGAGCTACCCAGACCTCCTGCAGCTCCCTAGGGACCTGGAGCAGCCATCCCAAGCGGCAGGGTAGGTGGCCCCACTTTGGCCCCAGTCTGGGAACCTGCAGACAGGCTACAGTGCTACCCCAGTGACCCCAGCCCCTGCTGCTAGTTGGGGTGCAGGCCTTCACCTTGGGACAGGACCTCTGCTGTGGTAGGGAAATGAGGCCTAGAGGACAGGGGGTGCTCTGGACTGGCATGGCCTTCTGACAGGCTCATCTGCAAGCAATGTCATGCTGCCCCAAGATCCAGAGGAAGGAACTGAGGCCAAGGCAGCCATGGGACCCTCCAGGGTCCCACTGCTGAGTAGGGCTTTAGGAGGGCAGCTGCCAACCAATGCCAGGCCTACTGGCTTCAAAGTTCACAGTGCAGCACTAGGTCCCAGGCAGGCTGGTGTTGGCTGCCCCTGAGCTGGCCTAGACCTGGCCCCTTTCAGGATCAATGTGGAGATCATCCGCTCAGAGGCCAGTGCCAACCTGAAGAAGCTGCTGGATGCGGAGCGGAAGGTGTCCGCCTCCACCTCTGAGGTGCAGGAACAGTATAAGGACCGCCTGCAGGTACGTGGGTGTGGACCCCAGCTGGCAGCAGAGGCTGGGGTGGCTCCAGGGAGGGGTGCCTGCCTGGGACAGGCCAGGATGGGAGAGGTCACAGAGGCGGCATCCGGAGTGGTGACCTCCCTGAGATGGGTGTGGGCACCCAGGTCCTCTCAGTCTGGCCTGCCCTTGCTAGTCCCACCCTGCCTGGGCGGTGACTGAGACCCTGCCCCAGGCCAGCATCGAAGCCTCCCAAGAGCTAGACGCAGTCTTTGACACCATTGAGCAGAGGAGGCTGGAGCTAGCTGACTACCTGTGTGAAGACCCCCAGCAACTGTCCCTGGAGGACACGTTCAGCACCATGAAGACCTTCCGGGACCTTTTCACATGTTCTCTGAAGGTGAGCAGGCCTCCTGAGGCCAGAGCAGTCCTGTGCTCCTCACCATCTACCGCAAGCTGCTGGGTGGGTCCAGCGGTGTGGCCCTCCAGCTAGGGCCACCCCTGCCACAGTCCAGGCTCGTGGTCAGCAGCGGGCTGCAGGACTGGGTGACAGGCTCCTATCTGCCTGAGCAGGAGAACAAGGACAGGAAGGAGCACGTGGCCAAGGCCGAGAGGAGGAAAAGGCAGCTGGCAGAGGAGGCGGCACAGAGGCCACAGGGCAAGGACGGGAAGCCTGGTGAGGCGGGCTCGGGCGGGCAGGGCAGGACCCAGGGGCATCTCCACCCACGTCTTACAGCTCCGCTCCCACCGGGGCCCCTTCTTCCTAGGACACTGGGGTGGGATCTGGGTCCCCAGCACAGCTCTCTGAGGCTCCGTGGCTCCTCAGGGAGGAAGGCGCCAGGGAGGCAGGAGGAGGTATGTGTGATTGATGCCCTGCTGGCGGACATCAGAAAGGGCTTCCAGCTGCGCAAGACAGCCCGCGGCCGAGGGGAAGCTGAAGGGAGTGGCAAGCTGACCCCAGCAGAACCTCTCGGGACCCGGGAGCCTGGTGAGCCCCCGTCTGCTGCTTCTCCATGCTCCCCTGCTCCACACCGTGCCCTAGAGACCTTAGCCAGTGCTGCCTGTCCCTGCACCCCAGCAGGTGAAAGCACAACTGCTGGGGGGGGGGGGGTTCTGCCACAGGTGTGGGGGTGCAGCCCCATCCAACCCCTGGACAGCCTCATGCAGCCTATCTGGCCGCCATCTGGCCCCTGGGCACCAAGAGAGTTGGGGGTTGGTGACCTATTGATAAGCCCCCCCAGGCTCAAGACCTGAGTGATGGGACAGACATCCCCAGGAGGGGGGCCTGCTCCTGGTCAGCTTTTCTCCAGGCTCTGGGGACAGGAGTGGTGTGTTTGTCCAGAGTGACAAGAGAACCCAATCTGCCTATAGAAAGCCACAGTGTGGGCCTCTGACGCCTTGGAGTTTCACAGTCCATGGGCAGGGGTGGGGGCAGGCAGCTGCCCTGCTCTGACCTCATGTGTTCCCCCCACCCACAGCAGCTGCCAGTGACCCCACGCAAGGCCCCGAAGGTGGCACAGGCAGCCCTGCCCTGGAGCAGGACCTTCATGCCGCAGTGGTCAGTGAGCCGCAGGGCTGGGACTTTGTGGACACTGTGATCCCCCACCCACTGCCCCATGACGAGGGGAGTGGCCCACTGCCCCTGGAGCGGCGCTCCTCCTGGTATGTCGACGCCAGTGATTTCCTGGATACCGAGGATGCTCTAAACGCCTGCCCCTCCAAGGAGCCCTGGCCGGTGGCCTTGGGGGACTCCCACATCCTGAAGCCTCTGCAGTTCTCCAGTGAAGTGTCCCCAGGGCCACAGAGTCCAGGACTCCAGGATAGCGAGGGCTGTGAAGCTCCCCAGGGTGTCCACCAGGCTGAGGCTGACAGCACAAGCCAAGGACTGGAGGACACAGGCCCAGGTGGGGATGAGGACAAGGAAGACACAGCCCCGGAGTCTGCACTGGATACGTCCCTGGACAAGTCCTTCTCCGAGGATGCAGTGACGGACTCCTCTGGGTCTGGCACCCTCCCCAGGGCCCGGGCCCAGGCCTTGAAGGGTTCAAGTAAGCGGAGGAAGAAGCGCCCTACCAGGAGCCAAGAGGGTAATTTGGGGCCGGGTTGGGGGGAGCAGGGCTCTGGTGTCAGGCCCCTCATTACAGCGCCCATCGCTGCAGGGCTCGAGATCTCTCCCTTGGGCGGCCACCACCTGGTGACAGGTCCTGCTCCTTCCCCAGGGGCCACTGCAAGCTGGAGCAGGATCCAGGAGAGAGGGTGACCGGGCACACACGGGTAGCAGTGCTCCACTGCGGGGGCAGCTTCAGGCCTCACGCCTGTGTCACTGCACCCAGACACTATCCCAGCTCTCACAACCCTGGCAGGGAGTGGGGTGGCTCGTGCCAGATGCACAGGGCTGGCACTAGGCCCACGGTGCACAGCTGGACTGGACTCTGTGCCAGACAGCTGGGCATGATGTCATGTGCTGCGGCTATCCCCTAAGGGCGGCAGCCCCTCTGGTCACCCAGGATAAGCTGCTGAGTGCATTTCTTTCCTTTGAAAGCAGAGGTTGCCCCTGAGTCTGATGATAATAAAACAAAAAGGCTGTGTGCAATCCAGTGAGGTAGGTACACAGCCGCTCTCTGCACTAACAGTGGTGGGTGCTGGGCTGAGCCTGCTGCTCAGCCCTCACAGGTGCTTTGCTCTGGCCCACGGCACATGGTGGCAGAAGCCTCATGTGAACCTTGGTGGCTCCTCCCCATCCTCACCCTTGCTGGGAAGGTCAGTGGCTGCACATTTTTCCTCCAGCCTCCTCTGCTTTGACAGGATGCAGCCTCAGTGCCAGCCTCGAGGTCAGTGGCCTTGGGGAAGAACTCCTTGTGGAGAGGGGAGGATGGGCTGAGGCTGCTCCTGCCCTGCGTCCTGGCCTAACCACAGCCCGCTGCTGCCCCCGTGACTTCCCTGACCCTGCCTCCTCGGGTAACCTCTGCTGTGTGGACACACGCAGCACAGCCAGGCCTGCAGGAGCGGTCCAGCCCTCAGGTGGAAGGTGCTAGCCAGGCGCGTGCCAGGTGGATGGAAGCCTCCCCATTTCCTCAACCAGGTCTGCAGGGAAGGTGCCTCCCAGTGAGGGGGAGGACCCCAGGCCATCAGTACGGCCCAAGAGGCTGAGACACAGCAGGCACCTGGCCAGAAGATGAGCAGGCCCAGCACCACTGGCCCGCTCCAGGCGCCCTGCCCCTCACAGAGGGCCCAGGCGCCAGGTCAGGGCACAGGGTGAGGTCACTCCTCCCAGTGGAGGAGGACCAGTATCGGAACCATAAGGGCTACTTCTTGTCTTTCTGGACCCTCTGGGTTGAACCCAAGGGCCTTCACACTGAGCTCAGTAGCTCCTTTTTATATTTTATCCTGGGACAAGGTACCGATAAATTATCAGGCTGCCCAGACTGGGCTCCATCTTCCTGTCCTCCTGCCTCAGCCTCTCGTTTTACAGGGATGACAGGCATCCCCACCTGGCGTGGGGCTGAGGCCCCAGGGACCCCCTACCTAAAGCTCCACAGCCTGTGGGGGCCTGGGCCCCACCCCTGTGGTGCAAGTGCAGGTTCCTGCATGCAGCCAGGCCGCCCCTGGCTGTGGCACAGCCTGCAGCCCTGGCCACACAGAGCAGTTCACCATTAGCCTGGCAGTCCCAGTTCCTGTCGGTGGGCTGGTACTGAAATCCCATCTTCAGTGGGTGCTTGGTGGTTTATTTCTGCTCATATTCTTGTTGTATGTCTGGGAAGGAATTTCTCAGACCCCCACGAGACCTGGTCCCTTATGGAACCAAGAACGTAAGAGCTCTGAGGCAGCTCCCAGGAGATCTTCAGGGAGGGCAGAGGGTACTGGCAGAGCCCTGCAGGGCCACGTAAGGGCGCTGGTCCTCAGCCGCAGCTGAGAGCACAAGCAGGGGCCAGCTGGAGGGGATGGAGCATGGGCCCGAGGGAGTCTGCAGTCACTGTGAGCCCAGGATGCAGAGCACAGCCCTGGCAGAGGGCTGGAGGGGACAGAACCAAGCGCTGTCCCCAGCAGGGCTGCTCCTAATGACACTGCTTCCTCTGCTCCACAGGCCTCAGGCCCAAGCCCAAAACTAAGTGAGGAGTGCACGGCCCTGGCACTGCCGTGGCCCTGGATGTGCTTCTAGGAGGCTCCTCTGACCAGGCTGGGACTGGGCCCCGAGGAGCCGAACTCCGTGCCTTACTGAGGGCCTCAGTCGGCTGGTGATGTCACAGCCAGGGCTGCACAGACTCCAGTGCCCGGGGCTGGCACCTCCTGCACCGCCCGCACACACAGCTCATGCCCTGCTTGGAGACCCAGTGTTGGTCTTGCCCCTGTCTGTGCACCCCATCATACCCCCTGGGTACCTCATGCTTAGGAGACATCACCTACTCCTGCCTCCGTCAGCTCAGCTGGGCGGTTTTGTGTGGATGCACTGCTGACTGACTTTGGCTAAGTTGCACAAGCTGGCCTCCAACTTGGGATCATCCTGCCTCAGCCTCCCACCTGGCTGGAGTTATAGGCACATGCCACCCCACTCGGCCCTCAGCTGCATTTTGATTGGAAGGTGGTTCTCTTGAGTCTGTACTGTCCAGAGGCAGTTGTGTTGGGGGCAGTGCAGCACCTCCAAGACCAGGCAGAGGCAGCCTGGCAGGCAGTGCCATGGGGGGTGTGCCCAGCCCATCATGGTGACCGGAGGCTGTGCTGAGACTGCATATCAAGGGACCACCTCATCAGCACCCTCCCAGGACCAGCTGCCCAGGGCCCAGGTAGGGCACTGAGGCCAGAAGTAGAGGGACTTAGGCCAATAAAGAGCAAGCCTGGCCCAGTTTGGCTGTTGTGTTTGGGCAGAGGAGCTGCACAGGGGACTGGACAGGGCTTTGAGGTTCCGGCACCCCCTGCTTTCCCCTCTCACTGATGTGGAGAGAGGGGTAGGTGGGCACAGGGACAGGCGTGCAACAGGCATCCCGGGCTCGGAGGCCCAGAGAAGTCAGAGGAGAGCCAGGCCAAAACTGGCACCCACCCAGACCTGTGCTCTGGGCTCAGCTTGGCCTGGCCTGGCCTCTCAGCACCTGCCAGACGGTAGGATGGCCCATGGATGGCACACATGTCTGGGAAAGCAGAGGGCAGGATGGAGCTTAGCAGCTGCCTGCTCATTGGTGGCCCCTTCATCGTGATCAGCACAGGCCAGGAGCCATGTGGCAGCCAGAGCAGCAACGGGGACCCACAAGCAGCCACAGCCCTCAGTGCTCCTCCGACAGCAGCATGCACTCTGCGCTGCCCACACTGGAGACTGCTGTCCACCTGTCCTTACTGGCAGCCTGGTGCCAGCAGCTTCTCCCAGAATCTCCCTGAGCGCCAGCCAGGAGCCTGTGCCCAGGCCAGGCATGGGCCACACCCGGAAAGCCCCCAGCCCCTTGGGGTTTTTGGTCGAGGCCTGTTGCCCTCCTCAGCCCAGAGCATGTTCAGTTATGTCATTGCTGGCTTTAAGTAAACATCACTCATTCATTCAACAGGCATCTTCAGGGGCCTTATAGGCATGTGAGACGGAAGGAGCCTGCCTGCGCCTCGAGTCACTAGGACAGGCATCAGGAAGGGGCAGCTCTGTCCACCCTGGGGAGGCGGGCTTGTGTGCCAAGTAGCAGCGGTTCCCTCCAGTTTACAAGGTGACTCAGCCACTGCAGCCAGGCTAAGCATCTCCCTCACAGCAGAGTCCCTGCTGGTGCAGTCACCCCGGTTGTCACTGCCACCACGGGTACTCTGCGTGAATGGAGTCGTCTGGCACACTTCTGGGGACAGCTTCACTTACGCTCCCGTCTGGGCTGTAGCCCAGGGCAAGGACTGTCGCCCTTGGGGCCGAGCACCCATCCACAGATCTAAACTGCATTCTGTCTCCATCCCTCCCCCCGTGGGGCCTCCTTGTGACCAGGCATGAGCATTGTGTGCTGGTCCTTGAGTCCACCCTGTACTCTGCACTGCAGTGGGTCCCTAGCTGGGTGGTAGAACCTACAAGGCAGTTGTCTAAGGAAGATGCACCCTTGCCTGGCCTACAGGCCTGCACACTGCCCGTACAGCCCCAGAAGCATGCAGCACTGAGCTATAGTAACGCTGAATGTGGGCTCCTGAAGCCAGGCATGCCTATGACTAGCCTAGGCCTCCCTGGAGCCTGCCTGCCTGCCTGCCTTCCTACCACTCCCCAGGGAAGCCCACTGAGCGGGCCACCAACAGCTCACAAGTGGGTCACATCAAACCCTAAGGTGTGAGGGTGTCTGGGGCCAGGCAGCATCTGTGGATGTCAGTGCCCAGCTGCCCTATGCAGTCTTGGTCCCATGGGGGCCTCTGTGGAATCCATAAGTGGCCACACCATGCTCCCTGGAGGGGCCTTTGGCTCACAAAGCTTGGTGAAGGCCACTTGTCCCAGGTCACAGTAGCAAGGCCGCAGCCCACCACCCTGTGACAGGCCAGCTGCAGGGTGGGGTGATCTAATTTGGGCCAGGCCATGTCAGCTGGGCTGTTTTTAGAAAAGCCCTGCCCCCCTCCAGCCCATGCTGTTTATAGTCTTGGGCCCCAGAGTTGGCGCCCCAGGTCAGCGCTGGCCCACACAGCCAGTCACAGCCTTACAGTGGGGCAGTTAAGCTGCTCCCCGGGTCCCTCTGAAACTTGACTCCCACTGGCCCAGAGCCCTGGGTCCCCAAGGAAGGATGGCTGGACCCCCTCAAGGACTGTGTGCTCACTTGTCTGATGTGACTCCGGCCAGGTGCTCACAACACTACGTTAGTGGTCACAGCTCTGGGACCCCTGTATTCCTCCAGCTGCCATTCTGCCCTAGCTCACCTACTCAGGCCCAACGCTCCCCTGAGACCCACCTCCTGCACCCACATCCCATGGTCCCACCCGTGGCAGTGACAGTCTGAACCAGGTCCTGCTGCCCCCGGCCCAGCTGCTTACCACCCAGCCATAAGTCACCCACGATGGCACTGAGAAGGCAACTCTCTCTCCTGGACCTGGTATACAGCAAAGCCCCGATGCTGCCACATAGAGGCCAGGGAGGGGACAGGCCATGCCATTACACTTGGGAGTGGAGGGTTTGAGCGCACTAACCACTCCCCTCTGGGTCCCCAGGGCCCATGGGGCTGGAGCAGGAGGGAATCAGCCTCTTGGAAACCCACGCTGCGGTGGCTGCGGTGGCCGGTGCACAGCTGGTGACCCGAAAAGTGGCACCTTATGCCGCGTGACCAAGCAGGCAGGGCGGATCCTGGCTAAGCCTCCACGTCCCGCTGCCCGCAGGGGGCGCCCTTCGGGCCAGGTTCGCGGCGGGCAGCGCCCTGACGCAGGTGCCACCCGCGAAGCTTGGGCAGCGCGGGGCGGGGCCTGCCCGGGTCACGCGCGCTGCCATTGCCCCGCCCCGACCCACGGTCCCTTTAAGGGCGCGGGGCGCGGGGGCGGGCTCCCGGGCGGCCGGCGCGAAGGGCGGACGAGGATGTCAGGGACCCGAGCCTCCAATGACCGGCCCCCCGGCACAGGCGGCGTCAAGCGGGGCCGGCTGCAGCAGGAGGCGGCGGTGACCGGCTCCCGCGTAACCGTGGTGCTGGGCGCGCAGTGGGGGGACGAGGGCAAAGGCAAGGTGGTGGACCTGCTGGCCACGGACGCCGACATCGTCAGCCGCTGCCAGGTGCGGGCGGGGCGGGGCGAGTCTCCCTCCCAGCGCCCCTGGGAGGTCTTCCTGGGAGCAGCCCTGGGCGCGTGGCCCACAGTCCCGCGTACACATGCCGCCCACACGGGGCAGCCCAGGGCCAGAGCTATAAATACAAGTCGCTGAGTCGGGGACACCTGATCCTCAGGGGTGGGTTTGGTGTATCAGGGGAGTGACGGTCGCCCTGGGGTTGGGGCACCCCGCTTGGGTGACCTGAGGGTCCTGAGGGGCTGCAGCCCTGAGGGTCTGGGCCGTGAGGTTGGCCACACCTGGTGAGAGGGCCTTGAAGGGCCCCGCCCATTTGCTGGGTTAGGGCAGGTGACCCCTGGAGCAGAATCCAAGAGGATCCTGGCTTCCTGGGGTGGGGGCCAGACTTCTGGCTAGCGTGACCGAGCGTTGGGGCCATGGAGGAGCCCGGTGCAGCCTGCACCCCCAAGGACCTGGGCCCAGGCTGGCCAGCTGCAGACCAGAGGCTGGGTGGATGCTCTTTGGGTCACCGCCCCTGTCCCTGGGGCCTTGTCCATGCTGCTTGTGCCTGCCAGCCCCACGCAGTGTCTGCCTCGGCTGCTCAGCTTGGGTCTGAAGCCTGGCCTAGGGCCGGGGCACCCACGGGAGTTCTTCCCTGGCACTGGAACCTGGGGTTGGGTTTGCTGTGGCTGTCTGAGCTCCATGAAGGGGGTGGGTGTGGCCCGCTGGCCCACAGGGCATGGGCAGACCTACATGGGCTGTGGAAAGTGCCTCCTTGGGGGCCTGAAGGGGGATCTTTTGTCCTCTCTCTGCAGGTCCTAGGGCAGCGCTCAGACCTGGTCAATGGGTACATGTCCAGAGTTCTGTGGCACAGAGTGTCCCCACCTCCATGTAGCCTCTTCTCTTTGCTGCCCTGGGCTGTCCACACAACCAGTAGCCCCATCGAGAGAGTCCTGCTGACCCTGGCCCCCCCACCCAGGCCAGCCCTGGTCCCTGGGAACCCTCCCCGCAGCCTGCCTCCTACACAGTTCGAACCCTGTCCTGGGCTGAAGGAGCCCTGGGCTCCTCCTTAGCAGATTTAAAACATGCCAGCCTGCTAACAAGCTGGGGAATGGGGCTTACAGAGCTCCTTCCCAGGTGGGGAAACTTAGGAAATTAAACCATGATAGTAACTCCTGTGTAGCACATCCCCAGCTCAGTAGCCCTGGGCTTGCACCCCTGCTGCACCTCTGGGAATGAAGGCAGACCCCCCAAGGCCAGGAACTCCTCTCCAGTTTATAGACCCTGATTTTGCACCTGTTCAGGGACCTGGCTTCCTGCATTGTCTGCCCTGGAGCAAGGCCCCTGCCTGCTGCTGACCTCCCAGCATCTGCCCCATTTCTGTGCACCGAAGGCCACCCTGGCAGAGTGAAGTTCCAACCAGATGCTCTGGGCTGTCTGTCCTTACAGCATGTGTGCATAGGTAAACAACAGTGTTAGAGCCAGGGCCTGACTTTACAGTGGATGCCAGGGGCTCAGAGAACCAGGTAGTCTGTAAAGTGGGCACAGGGTAGGAATTCCACAGCCACCCATGTCACCCATTCCTTCCTCTGAATGCCCAGGACAGCTGGCTGCAGGCATACCAGGCACTAGAGCCCCATGGAGCTTTCTCTTGGTTTCCACCATGGGCCAGTGTCCATGCCCAGCCAGCTCAGGCTGAGGCTTAGATCTAGCTGGGGTCACAGTCTAGGCTAATCCCAGGTTAGGGGTAGAAGCCACGTTCATGGGTGGGCCACAGATGTGGGCACAAGATCCCAGACTCCTCTCAAGTCCTCACTGGTGGATGTCCTGTGCAGTAGGGGCTCTGCCTGTGATTTGCAGGGTTCTAGAGCTTTCTCAGGGGCATGCCAGAAATTCCAGGCTGCTCTGGGACCCCTAGAGTGACCAATGTGCTCCCAGAATCAGGTCCCCCACAACCTCATCACTGCCTGGTGTACACACAGCATCCCCCTGGAGCTTGAGGTTCTAGCCAACTAACCAGCCTCACCGTGGCCAGGGCCAGCTGGGTTAGGCCAGAGCACCCCAGGGGGAAGGCACCTGGCATCTGCTGCCTGCCAGTCAACTCCAAGAGATCTGGTCCTGTAGTCAGGGGCCCCAGGGTCTGTATGCAAGTGGTGCGGGAGGGGCCAAGCAGGGACGAAAGGCCGGGGCTGGGGGAGAGGTTGACATGGAGTAGCCCACTGGCGTCGAGGAGGCACATCTCAGCATTCAGCATGTCCAGGGGTTTGGAAGAGCCTTCTGACCCATGCAGGAAACACCCAGCCTCTAGCGTCTCTGCTTAGCTCAGGGCTGCTGTTGAGCTGGCAGGGCCTCTGCAGGTAGGAGACCATGAGCAGAGGGTCAGGAGATAGGTGGCTATAGAGAGGAGCATTCTGGACATAGGTGGGTCTCAGGACTTGCAGAGCCACAGGTGCCAAGGGTGGCTGGGCCACACAGGCAAGCAGGGTCCCCACTGTAGGAAGGATGGGACAGGGGCAGCTCTGGGTCCACACTTTGGACCACAGCTGCCACATTCCTACAAGGATAGAGCCAGTGTTAGGGCTCAGCCACTTCCACAGAGCAGAATTGGGTTATCATAGGGCCCTAGAGGGAGAGCTCTGGTCTTAAAGTCCCAGCCACCAAGAACTGGGGGCCTTTGAGTGACAGCTGGCCTGAGGGCAAGGGACAGTGGCCCCTGGAGTTGTGTGACCAAGCACCCCACAGCATATAGCCCGGCCTGTTGGCATGTGGGCTGTGCCCCTGACCCACTCACAGGAGCCACAGTGGGCCCTGGGTCAGCACCTGCTGAAGGACCCTGCTGTGTGGTGGAAGGTGGCCTTTCCTGAGCCCTATGCCTGGGCTCTGCTAGGTCATCATTGCCTTCAATTCTGCAGAAGCCTGGTGCCTGCACACAGGGGCTCTGGCTAGAGTGGGTATCTGCCATGGTGACGGCCATGGTGGGCATCTGAGATGGCTCTCTCTCCATCAGCCCTGCTGGGGATAGATGGGGTACAGGATTGCTGAGTACTCAGTGACAGACACAGGAGTGTGCTGGACTCTAGGCTGGCTGGCTGGCTGGGACAGGTGGGAGGGAGACAGGGTGCAGGCTGGGAGGGGCACAGGTACTGCGGGCAGGAGGATGGGAGGCCATGGCCCTCCAGATAGGGAGATCAAAGCAGCAGCCTGCCTGGGTCCAGCTCTGAGGTCCACTTGGGCCCAGCCCCAGGCAAGCCAGGGCCACAACAGAGCTGTGGCTGACCCAGCTCCATAGCAAGGCCCGTCCCTTGCTACACGCCAGGTGGCTCCGGCTTCCTCCATAGTGAGCCCTCTCCAAACTGCACTCTAAGATGTGGCGGCAGCAGCAGAAGTTGCACTTCTCTGTGTGACCAGAGCTGGCTGTGGGCAGAGTGCCCTCTAGAACCTGCTCACCTGGGTGGGGCAGTAGAGACTGCAGGGCTCAGGGCACCATGTGGATTCCACCTGTCCATGCTCCTGTGCCCACCTTCCTTGGGTGCTGTTGGCTCTGGGAACCCCAGGCTGAAGCTCATGAGGGCATCTTTTCCCCAGCTCTTTGGCTGTCCCCATGCACCTGGTGTTCCAACAGCTCCCTGAGCAGGGCCATAGCCTGGGCGTCTGGGGAAAAACCCTCACCACACAGAGCTGCTGGAAGCCCTGAGGCTGGGCCTCCTCTGAGGGCCTAGCTCCTGGCACCTGGCCCCACACAGGCATTGGCCCAAGATCATGGGACGTCCCCTGGCCTGTGACACTGTGCTGTTCCCAGGCACCCATGTTTACTCCAACACAAGCAGTGTGTGCCTGTCCTCTGCCAGATGGCTTGGTCCTGGGCATGACGAGAGGAGGGCGGGGCAACAGGCGCCCTCTCAGGGCTCCCTGGGCCTCAGCTTCTCTGGCAGGCCGACTGCGCTGCCCCTGAGGTCTTGCCCTTGCAGGGAGGAGGCTGTGAACCAGGATGAGTCGGGCTGGCTCTGCTGAAAACTCGTCTTTTCTTGGGATCTTTGTTCCCCATCTGTCCCAGGAGACCTCAGCCTTAGGTGACACAGGGCCCCAGGTAATACAGGTCACAGATGCAGGTGCTTCATGAGCCAAGGAGGGCTGCACATACCAGGGGAGGGCAGAGCGCAGAGGGCTGCAGGGTCTGTTGGTCCCAACAGGCTGCACATGTGTCTTGGTTATTTTTTATTTGTTGGTGGGACAAATACCCAACACCCAGAATTAAGGAAGGAAAGGTTTAGTTAGCTCACACTTAATGAAGGTTTTATTGTAGTCTACTGGCTCCAAGGCAGGCTGGCACATGGCAAAGGACAGCATTTTATCGCCATGGAAAACAGCAAAGCAGAGGGAAGACCAGCAGCTGTAGCTTTTAGCAAGCCTCCGCTCTTCCTTCCACACTGATTGTGATGACTAGAGCCCCTCCGAGGAAGTGGCACCCTCCATCTTTGCTCAGTTCCCTTATATATCCTCTTTGTGCTGAGCCACTCTAGGGTGGGCCCTCCACTCACTAGGGAGGGGCCTCCATGCCTTATGGTGTGGAATTGCTGACAGGATTTAGTTAAGCTTTTAGCTTTTCAAGTTGACACAATGTATCAACCACTACAATCCACCCCTTGTCAATTTGGCAGCTAGACGTGTTTTTTAACCAGTCTCCAGGTACACAGACATGCATATTAACATTTTACAAATTTGACATTATAGTACAGGTTTAACTATCATTAAGTATCAGTATTAAGTCTATCAAAATTATATTACATGAGAACCATAAAACACTCTGTCCCTGGTTCCCCAAGACTCATGCACATCCCTTTATGCAAAAGGCACTTAGTCTATCTGCAAGAGTTGCCAAAGTCCTAATAGTTTCAGCATCGCTGAAAAGTCGAAGTCCCAAGTCTCCTCCAAGATCCAAAGCAAACTCTTAGCTGTGAGCCCCTGTACAAATGAAAAGTTAAACACTTTCAACATTTAAAGGCACAAGATAAACATTACCATTTCAAAAGGTATATGCAGCGGGATACAAACCATTGAGACCAAAACAAATCAAAAATCCAGAAAGGCAAACATTTTAAGTTGTGTAGTTCCATTTGAAACATCAGAAGCAATCTGTACCAAAAGCCTTATGTGGCTCCACCCCTATGGCACTTCTGCTGGTATCTTCCATGGCTGTTCTCTGGGGCTGGCTTTGCTCCCTCTTTGCAGCTTTCCTTAGACAATCCACTGAATTTAGTTAAGCTTTTAGCTTCTCAAGTTGACACAATCTATCAACCTCTAGAGTGTGCAAGCCCAGGACAGGACAGCGGTCTGCTGAGCCCCACAGTGAGTTCAGAGGTCCCTCAATTCTTCTTCCTCCTCTTGCTGCCCCCCAGGCCTTGTCTCCCTGTGCTTAGATAGCCCCTCTGGGACAGCTTGCATGTATGCCCCCCATGAGAGTCCATGCAGGTCCTCTCACAGCCTTGCTCCCCACAGCCCCCTAGGACCCCATCACCTGCACACAGGACCTGCCCATGTCAGAACCAACTACAGCCACAGCTACAGGTTGCAGTGCTGGCTGGGGAGGTGGGCACTACTCTATCATCAGAGCCATGCCTGGATGGGTCCTGCAGTTGGTGTGGCCAGCCTGTGTTAGCTGGGGAGGGTCCCACCTGCTGGGCAGGGGGACAGCACCAGTAGCACTAGTGGCATGCATTGAAAGCTGCAGGGAGAAGCCTAGGACAGAACTTCATTTAGCATTCTGGTGCCATGGGGTAGAATCGGCTTCTAGCAGGCCCGTCTCACCTGGGGGTCAGGAACTGGAGGGTGGGGAGGTAACTGAGTACGTGGACTCCAGCCCTGCTGTCCAGTGACCACTGTGCGAAGTGAGGTCCCTGCCAGGTCCTTGTATTACCAGCTGCACCAGCTGTTTCAGCTGAGCACCTAGGGGGCTTGGAATCTGCCCAGTGAGTCATGAGCAACAGGCAGCCATACTGAGTCTTGGGTGGGCAGAAGAGGATGGGGGGGTGAGGGTCTCTCTTCATACATAGATAACAGTGTGGCTGGAGCCAGGGGCCCTGGCAGGGGCAGGAGGAAAGAGAAGGCTGCACACTGGTCGGCCAGCATGTGGGACACAGGACTGGGGCTGGAAGGCCCTGTGCAGAATCTCAAGAGGTGCCACCACACTGTACCTAACCTGGCCTCAGGGGTAGCAGGACATCTGAGGAGGGAAGATGCTGCCACCCCAAGCCCCTTGAGTGCCAGCATATGTGTGTTCCCTCAGGGGGTCCTCCTGCTTTCCTTTGGCCATGGCCCTATCAATCATACCCCAGGGTTTCCAGCCCCCTCTGAACACCAGTACTGCCCACCAGTACTGCAGGGCCATCAGGTGAGCCTGGAGCTGCCCTGTGCACCTGGGTGACAGCCACTGCAAGGCCCCTCTCTGCCTTATCTGCTGGTGTCTGGGGAACCCAAGGAATAGTCAGCTGAGTCTCTGTCCCCAGGGAGGCAACAATGCTGGCCACACCGTGGTGGTCGATGGCAAGGAGTATGATTTCCACCTGCTCCCCAGCGGCATCATCAACACCAAGGCAGTGTCTTTCATTGGTGAGTGTCCCTGCCTGTTGCCCCAGCACTGCAGTGTGAGCCAGAAGGCTGTGTGCAGGTCTGCCCACAGCCCTGGGCTGGCTGGACATCAGAAGCTGGTGTAGGAGTCACCCACACAGCCAGCTGCCTCCCAGGCCAAGGGGGAGCAGACAGAGCCCATCCTCCCAGCCTCACAGACCAGAAGCCCAGGGGTCAGAGGGCCCTGGAGGTTCTGCTGAGCTCAGCCTCCACGTGAACATGCCCAGGTACATCCACTGGTGTGCCTTTCACTGAGGTCTGCTTGCATATGATGTGTATGACCCCAACTGCCTGACAGGCTCCTGGCCCTGGCCCCTGTCCATGCTGCAAGGGCCCCCCGCTCTAGTCCCCCAGCTGTTCCAAGCTCTGTGCACATCCTTCTCTGCTAACCTGCTGCAGCCACCTATGACCTTTTGTGCCCTTGAGGTGAGGCCACCTTGGCCCCCAGGATCTTAGCCCACCTCCCCATACCATCAGAGGGCTGGGGGGCTGGCCTGGCCTAGCTCATAGCCTGTGACCCAGCTGGCCTGGCCTAGCTCATAGCCTGTGACCCAGCCCCATCTGGCCCATTTCCTCTGGTTCTGCCCAGCCTGCTGGGAAGTGCAGGAGCAGAGGGAGGCACTGGCTAAGGGTGGCCTTGTCCTGCTGGGCCATGGCTGCTCCCGGAAGGGCCACCCGCCTGGACAGAGGGCAGGGCCAAGCCACAGCAAGGCTGCACGGTCACCAGGGTCACCAGCAAGTAGGCCTCCAGCCGGCATGGCAGGCACCCCGTGAAGTCACCTCTGCCATATGGTTATTTCAAGATGCTGGGGCGTTTGCATAGCCATTCCTACTCACTGTGACTTGAGCAGTCTCTGGGCCTCTTAACTAACGTTCTACTGCCCGCAGCCAAACCGTGTGGCCGTGGAGCCAGGGGCCCCCGTGGAGGCGGTGCGGGTCTCTGCTGGGCTGCTCATGCTCGGAGTGAGGGGCCCCTTCAGCCCAGACACACACTGGCTTGCTGCACGGCCTTGGAGGGTTGCCTTCCCTCTGACTCAGTGGAACTCCAGCAGATCCCAGACAGTTTACATGAGTGGAAAGAAAACACCTTGGAGCTGCTGTCACCTTGGTGGGGCTGTGAGTCTCCAAGGGTCCATTTCCCATATTTAGGCTGTTTTGGTAAACAACCCTTTCCCTGAGGTCCAGTTTATGTCACAAAATCCTCCCTGGAGGTTGCAGCTGGGCGTCCATACCCTGAAGCCAGCTTCAGACCGTGACGGTCCCTGTTGTTGCTGGGACTTGCCCGCCCCCACCTCGCAGGCCACTGCTGATCTGCTCCCATCACACTGGTGTTTCCACATTTTGGGGTCTTTTTTTTTGTACTTGCAAGACATACTCAGTAAGCTTTACCATTTAAATCAATTTTTAGTGTCTTTTAATAGACTTTATTTCTTAAGAGAAGTGTCAGGTCCACAGCAGAGCTGAGGCAGCTACAGCACACTCCCTGCCCACACATCCCCCACTGGCACATGAGGCCTCCTGCCTGGTGGCTGGTGTGTGTAGACAAGTATACAGTGACATACGCCCATTGTTAGTGTCACACAGGACAGTGTCTACCTGTTTGCCTTACTGATCACTTTATTGACATCGTGATTTTGTCTCTTCCAGCGTCAGAGGTGAAGCTGTATCTCTTTAGTTCAAAGATCCACTTGGCTTTTATTTGCCACTCAGGAGGGGCAACACCCAGCCTTTGTGGAGAAGAGTGAGTGCAGTGAGTGGGCAGAGGCAGCCGCAGTGGCCACTGGCAGTCATGGTCCTTCCACCCAGAGCCAGGCAGAGGGGCCTGTCTCACAGTACTCATGGATGGGCAGAAAACTGGCCTGTTTCCAGTCCAGACTGAGGTCACAGCCCCTGGCACCACGCCGCCATGCTGATGTGGCCTGGCAGTGGCGTGGCTCATGGCCCTGCCTGGATCCCTGACCTGCTGACCTGGCTACCCCCAACAGGGTCGCCCATGAGCAGCCTCTCCCCTGTGAGATGCATTTCAGTTCAGCCACACGCTCAGGGAGGGCTGCACCCAGGTTGGGCAGTTGGGAATAAGGCTGCTAGGCACTGTGCAGGCCTAGATGTGCACGTATTTTCAGCTGTTTGGGTAAACACCAGGGGACTGGGCTGAGAAGAGAGCTCAGTAGAGTAAGTGTTTGACTGGCCTGAGTTCTGTCCTCTGTCCCACCAAAACAACAACAACAACACACCAGGGGACTGATGGCCGAGCGCTGTCACTCCATCCGTCTGTAGAACCCATCACATCCCAGACTGCAGCTCTCCCCTGAATGGCCCCACCCTCCCAGCCCGCTGAGCACGGTCCTGCTCCTGTCTCGGAGTCAGCAACTCCAGGTGCTGCTCCTCTGGCTGATGTTGCCTGGCTTCTTGTCCTATATGCTGCAGCATATGACAGGATTCCCTTACTTTCCAAGGCTGGGTCGAGGTCCATTGTGTGATGGCCTGCGTGGCTCACACAGTCACCCTGATGGATACTTGGCTGCCCCCAGCCCCTGGCTGCTGTGCTTCCCAAGCTCCATGCATGGCTCAGTCACGTGTCCTGTCTGTGTGTTGCAGGCAATGGTGTGGTCATCCACCTGCCGGGCTTGTTTGAAGAAGCAGAGAAGAATGAGAAGAAAGGTAGGTCCCAGGGCTACAGACCACCGTGCCCAGCAGCATGCAGCACAGTGGCTAAGGCTCTCCCAGTGTCACAGAACAGGAACTGCCAGGTGGCGAGGCAAGAAAGCCAGAAAGGAGGCTAAGCAGCCTGCCCGCGTGCTGGGCAGGTGTGCTGTGGGGCAAGGTGGTTTGGGCAGGACCATTGTCCTGTACACAACATGGGGGCCGCTCCGGCCTCTTGGCCCCTAACGGGAGCTAGCAAAGTCTCCTAGCCTAGACACAGGTCATCATGGATGCAGCATGCCAGTGAACACACCTGTCGTGTGCCACAGGCCTGAAGGACTGGGAGAAGCGGCTTGTCATCTCCGACCGGGCCCACCTTGGTGAGCTTCAAACTTACAACGCTGCCTGGTCCCATACAGCTCCCCGCCCTGTTCTTTGCCCTTTCCAAAAAGCTGAGTCAGAAGCCATGAACCCATTTGCAGACAGGGAAACTGAGGCCCAGGGAAATGTACAGTCACACCTGCATGGAGGAGGGTGGGCCTTGAGGTTTCACAGCCCCGTTCTGCTGCTGCCCAGCACTCGGGTCACACACATCCCCTAACCCCTTTCCTGGGAAATGGCACATGGTCACTGAATACCTGCATAGACCTCTGCTCCTGCTTCTCTCTGTTCCCTGACACCTCATGGCCCGGCAGTGTTCGACTTCCACCAGGCGGTGGATGGACTGCAGGAAGTCCAGCGCCAAGTGCAGGAGGGGAAGAAGTAAGTACGACCCCGCCGCCCTCTGGGCCTTGGCCCTGCAGGCTGGCGGCTTTGCACACGCCCAGTCCTGCACAGGAGCTTCTGTCCTCTCAGAGGCCCCTGAGGACGGCATCCACCTGACAGCCCACCTCTCTCGGGGCCTACACTGTCCTCACTGGCTGTCCCTGCAACGGCCTGGGACACCCTGACTGCGCACAGGGTATCCAGAAAAGGGGAAGTGCTGAACCAGCCCGGCGCCCAGCCTTGCTCACACCCTGGCCCTGCCTGCTGTGGGAGCCCTAAGGTGTCCGCTAGGACCTCTGGCAACCAGAGGCCAGAGGAAACCCAGAGGAGGGCACCGCCTCCAGCAATGGACTCACAGTGGCCCACCCATGCAGACAGTGCTCCACACCTACACGTGCAGACGCATGCACAGCTGGCCCCGGCTCACACGTGCACACCCCCAAGCACAGGCAGTGGTGGCGAGCAGCCTACGTGCCAAGAGTGGTCTGTGGGGGCTGTGGGCACAGACAGCGCAACTGTCTAGGGAAAACAACAGGGGCCAACCTCAAGAGTGGCACCATGACTGCCCAGTGAGGGGAATCAAGGCAGGGCAACTGAGAACCAGAAGGACTGTGGAGCACAGGCATAGGGCTGGGGCTCCAAACGATGGGTCCCCACCAACCTTGGGTCTCTGGAAGCTGTGCATCTGAGGAGGCCAGGGCACCTCACAAGGTCCCACATTTGGCCCTCAGCATCACTTCAGAGAGGCCCCTGGGATGTCTCCCTGCCTGACCTTTATCCATGGGTGCACCCAGCTCTGCTGGGGCTGGCAGGGCTGCAGTGGGATCCCTGTCCCCCGCCAACACCCAGTCCCATCTTTCAGCATCGGCACCACCAAGAAGGGAATCGGACCAACCTACTCCTCCAAGGCTGCCCGGACAGGCCTCCGCATCTGTGACCTGCTGTCAGACTTTGACGAGTTTTCCACCAGGTACTAGGGCAGCTGCAGTCCGGTGATAGAGGGTTGGAATTACCAAGGGCGAAGTTCTGTGTGGACCCCTGGCGATCACTGCACCATTCACCTGCACAGATTCAAGAACCTGGCCCACCAGCATCAGTCCATGTTCCCTAGCCTGGAGATAGACATTGAAGCCCAACTCAAGAGACTCAAGGTAAGCTGTGCATCCCAGGGTTGGCAAGTCACCTCTCCCTTGCTGTGACATCCAGACTCATCAGAGCAACACATCACTGCTGGCTGGCATGGTCCCTGCAGGGCTTTGCTGAGCGGATCAGACCCATGGTCCGAGATGGGGTCTACTTTATGTATGAGGCTCTCCACGGCCCCCCCAAGAAGGTCCTGGTGGAAGGTGCCAACGCCGCCCTCCTCGACATTGACTTCGGTATGTTCTCTCTCCCCTCACCTACTCCATCCTGGGTGTCAGGTCCTGATGGCCTTTTGTGTGTGCTGGAGACCAGCTGCCCATGGAGGGCAGGGGTCAGAAGGGGGTGAGGCACAGCCACGGTGCTACCCACGCCATCAGTAGGATCTGACCTTCCCGTTTTCCCCACTTCAGCAGGGCAGGGATAAGGGCAGGGCTGATGAACCTTTGGTCAGTCCCAACCCCACAGGCACAGCAGTAGACAGCAGGGTGGTCAGGCCAACTTGGTCTGCCCTGGGAACGCCTCCTCCTGCCCTCACTCCACACTCCTATGCCCTGCACACAGCACTTCATGCGGGGGTGAACCCACTCCCTGCCCTCTGCTGAGAGATGTCTTGGGCCCAGATTCGCAGGACTGGACAAATCCCAACCCGTGACCTGCTCTGTCTTGCAGGGACCTACCCTTTTGTAACATCCTCCAACTGCACAGTGGGCGGTGTCTGTACAGGCCTGGGCATCCCACCTCAGAACATAGGCGACGTGTACGGTGTGGTGAAGGCCTACACCACTCGCGTGGGCATCGGGGCCTTCCCCACAGAGCAGATCAATGTGAGTGCCCAGCCTTGGCTGTGGGAGGGGGTGCAGGGACCCCATGCAGCCACACCAGCTCCCAGCACAGGCAGGCATGCAGTAAGGGCAGGAGGTCAGCTTGCTCCCACACTGGGGTCAGGTGTGTGTGTGTGCATCCTGGACCCTGTCTACCCCAGAGTGTGTAGGGACCTTGATGTGGGGGTGCCTTCGGACATCCTGCTGAACTAGGACAGTACTGACCGCATGGCTCTGAGAGCTCAGCCTTCTGCCCCGGGATCCCCCCAGACCATGGTGGATATAAAGGGGCATCCAGAGAGGCTCAGGGCTTTTACTGAGCAGCACAGGTAGAGGCAGACAAGACAAAAAGTCCACTGTCTACAAGCTGCACTGTGGCAGCAGGCCCCTCCTTGCTGGCTCAGTCCCTGCAAGGTCCAGACTTATCCACAACACTGCCAGGCGTGTTCTGAGCAAGAACCACAGGAATTGCATGATGAACAACATGTCTGAGGTCTCTGCCCTGTTTCCCTGGTGTAGCCCTGTTTCCCATGAGTGGGGGGTGACCACAGGCAGGTAGCATGGCCTGGTGGAACATGGCTACTGGGGACACATATATAGAGGCCATGGGGGTGACCAGTGAGGAAAGCACCTTCAGGAATTCTCCAAGTCCAGAAAAGAGCAGCAGAGGGACAAGGGACTTACGGATCCCCTCGAGTCATGTGGGTGCCCTCTTGCCCCTGCAGGAGATTGGGGATCTACTGCAGAGCCGTGGCCATGAGTGGGGGGTGACCACAGGCAGGAAGAGGCGCTGCGGCTGGCTGGACCTGATGACCCTGAGATATGCGCACATGGTCAACGGCTTCACCGCGTAAGTGGTGCTTTTGCGGAGCGTCCCACCTCACTGTGGCTGAGGGCCCCAGGGATCCTTGTGGGATTCCTCCTCTCCCCCTCAAGGCTGACCTAGGGCTCGTGGTGGTCCTGGCTCTGTGTGGTAGTGTCCTGGCTCTGTGAGCACTCACAGCAGGTCACGTGCAGGTGTGAGACAAATCCAGGTCATAGGCAACCGCCTGCAGTGTGGGCCACATGCCAGGGAAACACTCACTGCACCGAGCCCAGGCAGAGTGTGTCTCAACAGGGTCCCCTGCTCTGTCATTCAGGGCCCTGTAAGGACCTCTCAGTGTGGCTGCTGGGCTCATCTTCAGGAGCCCTGGGACACCTTGCCAGAGGGCTGGGGCAGGCCAGCAGCACACTTATGCTCACCCTGTGCAGGGTCCAGGAGGGGTCTCTGAACCAAGGGACCTGGCATGAGGAGAAGGGCCATCTTGTGTGTGGAGCTCCAAGAAGGAACAGGGAAGAGATGCAGACCAGGCAGGGGTGGCCAGCAACACAGCCTGCAGCTGCCCTGGACTGTGGGAATGGTGTGGGCTCTGAGGAAACCCCCACACCCAAGGCCATCTGTGAACCCCGGCTCTGTGAGGGCAGAGAGTGGAGGTGCCCCGGTGGTGCTGCCAGGTTAACAGTCCTTGGGAAGGGCGCCAGGGCCCCCACCTCTGAGAGCCCCGAGGAGCACGCCCCATGGTGCTGAGAACGAACCCCACTTTGCCATAGCTGGACTTTCCGGAGGAGTGATTTTCCCAAGACAGGTTGTGAGCGGCATGTTTTCCACTGGGTGACAATGTCCCCTCTGGATCCAGACCTGGCCAGCGCACTGCCTGGTGGTTCCAGGTCCATCTTTGTGCAAGAAGCATGGGAACCGTGTGGCTAGAGTGTGATCTCTGAGGTGCTAGCTTCAGTTTCTGTAGTGCAGACTCAGAAGCTTGGGGGCCAGGACAGGGTGGCACTGGGCGGCACTGCCCACTTGTCACCACTGCTGGCTTGGGTCTAGCAACACACATCTATGAAGTGCATGGCACCTGGGCCTCCCACACGGGAGCAAAGGAGAGGAAAACCTGGAAGCTTTAGCCTAGGCGTGGCACAGAGAAGAGCTGCAGAGGCGACTGCCATTGTGACACCAGCTGCCCCAGGGGTAGATGAAAGGGACACAGTGCCACGCTTGTGGCCATGCTGTGGGAAGATGTGGCTAAGCCTCCAGTAGACAGAGAGAGAGCTGAGCAGGGCACTCAAGGCAGAGCCCTGAGCAAGTGCTCCTGCCCTGTCCCCTTCAGCAGACCAGTTTTCCAGGATTACCCAGGGTCTTCACAGCTAATACGAGGAGGAGAAGCAAGAGAGCAAGAACCAAACCAAACCAGTACGGGCCATTTCTGCCTCTCTCACCCCTTGATTTCTGGGCAGGCTGGCCTTGACCAAGCTGGACATCCTAGACGTCCTGAGTGAGATTAAAGTTGGCATCTCATACAAGCTCAACGGGAAGAGGATTCCCTACTTTCCAGGTACATGACATGATCCAGTGTGCTTGCCCACTGGGCACCAGAGGACAAGGGGACAAGGAGGGGCGGCACTGTCAGCAGGTGGAGCGCAACTGCTTTGCTCCAAGGACCTGTCTAGCCTGGCTTTGCGTCTCACGGACTCCTGACGGGACTGGCTTGTCTGAGGACTCTTGGCAAGGACTCTGGGAGTCCCTGAAAGGCTCACCTCCCAGGAGTGGGAGTCTGAGTTAGTGGATGTGGGTGGTTGTAGAGAACCCAAAGTCCTCTACAGATGCAAAGATCACCGTTTTATCTAGGAAAACATGCCTTATGGTCAGATTTCTTTCTTTTACTTTATGGCTCTGGGTGCCTTACCAGAGGCTAAACACTCTTCTACCAATAACTTCCGTCCCAGTCCCTGCTAGCCACTTACAGATCTAACTGGCCCCGTGTCCTTCCTTTAGAAAAGTGCGCTAGTGTTCTTTTCCCGCCTCCGTCTTGCTGGTGTGGAGCATCCCCCTTCTCATCGCACCATGGTTTTGTCCAGCCTGCTCCCACGAGCTTCCTCTATCGCAGCTATGCACATCACCTTCCTCGCCTTCCACATGCATGCAGACCTGGGCAGGCCCAGAGGTCCCTTTGGTGTGACAGCCATGCACACCTTCGGAAGCCCTCCTGATCCTGGCCTTGGAAAGGGCACTCCATGGGGTCACTGTGGCTCTGCACGTGGGGTGTGCGCCACACAGGCAGACCCCTTGGGGGGGCCACTTGTTCCAGGACCTCCCACTAGCAGGGGTCCCTGCCAGGAAGGAGCTGCCACCCCAGGGGCAGGGCATATGTCCTCAAGGGCACCTTAACGCTGCAGTACTCCAGTCTCCTAGCGTCAGTTTCTAGGCAGAGCCTGCCATCCCCAAGAACACTTGGTCAACATGAGTGAGCTGTCCGAGCCCCAGGTCTAGGAGCTCAGATCCTGGCCGTTCCTGATTCCCTGCAAACACCAAGCAAGCCCAGAAGGACCCCTGCCTTCTCCAGCTTCCTGTCTGCTGACCATCACATCATGAGCAGCAGCCTTGTGGCAGACACAGTCCACTCACCCTCTGTACCCCCAGCTAACCAGGAAATACTCCAGAAGGTCGAAGTGGAGTACGAGACACTGCCTGGCTGGAAAGCAGACACCACAGGTGCCAGGAAGTGGGAGGACCTGCCCCCACAGGCCCAGAACTATGTGCGGTTTGTGGAGAACCATGTGGGCGTGGCAGGTGGGTGCCAGTCCCCCTTCCCATGGTCCTCCCTGCATGCTGGACACCCCAAGGGGCCCGAGTCTCAGTGCAGAGTACAGAGGGCGTGAGACCCTACCATGTGTGGTAACCACACGAATGCATGAGGCAAGGAGGGCAAGGGGACCAGAGCTGGGCCTTCCAGGATGGCAGGCAGCTCCAGCCAGATGGAGCATCAGCCACCTGGGATGTGGCAGGGGGAGGCGCCATGTCCCTGTGCAAGTGAGCCAGCTCCATCACAGGGCGACTGGCCCCCAGACTGGAGGGTGTGCAGACACAGTGTCTTACCCAAGGGCAGGACCAGGGGCGGCATGTTGCTCCCCTCGACAGCCCTCCTCAGGCACTGCCTTTGTAATATACACTGCAGAGCTCTTCCCATTTGGGAAAAAAGTCCCCTTTGCCAGGTGAGCTATAGTACACAAAACTGTTCTTGGGCTTTGTGCCCTGGGTGCACTGTGACTGTCCTCTGTTGCCCTTTCAGTCAAATGGGTCGGTGTTGGCAAGTCCAGAGAGTCCATGATCCAACTGTTCTAGACCCAAAGGAGTGGCTGCTCCAGGCCACAGCCATGCCCTGTCCATTTGGGAGCAGCTACAGCCATGTTCCTTGGTGTCACAAGCAACACTGGAGACAAAAAAACCTGAAAATTATTTTCTGTACTTCTATTTTTCTGAAGCTTTCAGCTCCACCCACTGAATATTACAGTGATTTAAACATCTAAAAACCAGCACTGTGTAAAGTTTTTAAAAATTCTGCTATTTAATATGAGCCCAAGGACTCAAAACAGAGGCCTTGTGTGACGCGCTGTGACCGTGTGCCTTTTCGGAGTGGTGCGGCAATAAATGTGTCCAGAAGCCCGAGTGCATGGCTATTCACTCTGTGCTCTCCTGACTCCAACCTGAGGCCTTCCAGCCCTGAGGTGACCGCGCTGCATGACGAGTATGCCTGGTACAGTTCCTGGGGAAAGCCGGTCCTGCTCATCAGACGGGGGCACCTCTGAGGGACCTCATGCCAAAGAAAGAGGCAGGTGGAGACGCACAGACAGAAGCGTGTTGTGGTGGTAGCAGGAAAGGAGGCCTTGGCCTTGGTGTTCAGTGTGGCAGACCTGGGGTGGGACCGAGGAGGAGCAGGAGCAGCACTTGGGTCCTGGGCACTGCCTCCTTCTGTAACACGGCAAGGAAAGGACGACAGAGCTTCTAGAGCTGCTCAGCAGCAGGTGACAGCCAGTGCCCGGTTCCGAATTCCCACGGACACCTGCACACGCAGCCCCCACGAGTTCAATAAAGGCCTCGGCCTGCAGGTCTCTGCCTCTGCTGCCTTCCTGGGCCTGTGTCATGGGCTGCCTGCCAGCTGGCCCTGCCGAGCGTGCTGCTGCCTGGGTCTGCAGCGAACAGCCTGGAGCCAGACACGGTGGCACAGACCTGTAACCCAACGCTGGGAGGCTGAGGCACAAGGACCACAAGTTCCAGTTAAGTTTTTAAAAAGTTCCAGTTACACCGGGGCGATTTAGTAATGTGAAACTCTGTCTCAAGGAAACAATAAAACCGCCCTGAGAGATGGCTCGGTGGAATAAGCGCTTCCCAGGCAAGCGCAAGGGCCTGAGTTCAATCTCCAGTTCTGCCAAAAAAACCTACTTTTTTAAAAGAATTTACAGGTCTGGGGATGGTGCCCAATGATAGAGTGCCCTGGATAAGCAAAGCCAAACAGGTTTCGCGTCCCATGTCAGCGTCCGCCCGCGCGTGTGTGTCACCGCACTGACCCGCACTGGGCCACTACCCCGCCTTGCGAGGGCAACCTGGGCACAGGTCTGCCAGTGCGAAGCGCTTCCGCGGCGAGACGCGGGTCGCCAGGACAAGGAAGCAGCAGGAAAGGCTCCCGGTAAACATCCAGGGGCAAACCTGGCAAGGCTGGAGGCAGGGCTGGCGATGACAGACGCTCTGCAGAGATCTCGGCCCCACTTCCTCCGAGGAAGCCACAATGGCGTCCCTCACAACCCTCAATAAAACGTCATTTCTCCCGACCCGCATTAAGTAGACGCGGACGCGCAGGGACCGGGGGGTGGCGGGACGCGGGCAGCCGCGGGGAACCAACGGAGTCAGCCGATCCGGCACGGCCGAGAGCTGGGACCGCGGCCGCCGACAGAACGCGGCGGGCTTGCTAAAGCGGATCAACCCAAGTTGCGCGGGCGCTGCCAGCCCGACGCTCTGGGCCCGCCCCCTCCGCAGGCTCGACCTATCCCGCGCCGCGAGGCGCACAGGTCCCGCCCTTGGCCTAGCCTCGACCTATCGTGTACGACTCCGTGTGGCAACGCCCACACGTTCCGCCTATATCTAGCCTCCAGCCTGCGCCCAGCAGCACCAAACGCGTCTGTCGCTCGGGCCAGTCCTTTCCGCTTCGGCTTCTCCTTCAGCGTTTCCCGCGCGCCGAGTCCCGCCTCCAGCCCTCTCGGCCTATGCCGCGTCGTGTCTCGCGCTAGCCCCGCCTCCAAAGTCTTCTCAACCTATCCTGCCCCCGACAGTTGGCGCGCTGCTCTGACGTCAGAGGCGGCGCGCGGCGCTCTGCGTCCTGCGGCCCAGTGGCCATGCCCAAGCGGGGCTGCCCGTTCGCGGACGCAGCCCCGCTGCAGCTCAAAGTTCGCGTGGGCCTGAAGGAGCTGAGCCGCGGCGTGTGCGCGGAGCAGTACTCGCGGGAGGTCTTCGGTGAGTGTGGCTGCTGCGGCCCCAGGTGCTCCACGCTTACTCCGCGGGCACTGTCCCCTTCCCACCTTGTCGGCGGGGTCTTACCGGGTCGAGAACTTCGGCCGAAGGGACAGGCCGGCCACATGCGGAGTGATCTTCCTTACGTAGCGGTTTATACCGAGGACGCAGTTAAAAGATGACCCAGAGTGCTTGTGAGTGGTGCTGCTGTGCACTGGGGACGCGGGAGAGCCCAGCTTTCAGAGACAGGGACGCCGCCAGGCGCTGCCCGCTCCTTTCCCCCAGCTGTGCCGCTGCTGTGTTCTCTCCCCGGGCGCTGGCGGGTCCCAGGCCATGCAGGTGATCCGATGAGCGAAACCGTGGGGACGGTGGCTGGCCTGCAAGAGTGTGCTTCAAAAATGTAAACACGAAAAGAATGAAGCGGCATCAAGAAGTTGTCTGTCTCCCCTTTGTCTTTGTCTTGGAGCATGTGCAGGGCCTTGTCCCTCATATGGTTAGCAAAGCCTGGGGAGACAGGGACAGGCGGCTGGTTTCCACCCCCGCTGCTGCTGCTTAGTTCGCTTGTAGAGCCTCAACATCTTGCACCTCTGTCTTGGCTGTTTTGGAGTGAGCACACTGGACTGGCATCTGATATTTGCTTTTGTGAGGGTCCTTGAACACCTCATGTAGCTTGATGGATAACAGTGCTTCCAGCTGCCACTTCAGCTACCAGGCGTGGATTTGTGTTGGAGGCTCACAGGCCTAACAGGTTCTGGGATCCCTTGATCAGAAGCTGCTATGGCTGGCAGGTCAGCCTGGTGGATGGAAAAAGTGCACACCGGCCTGAGATTTTGGTGCAGCTCTGAGCCTTTCAGTGCTTTTGATAGTTAGCATGTATAGTGCTTGGGGGCGGGGGAGCTTACTCTGCATGGTTCTCCCACTTGCCGGAAGGAAAGTGCTGAGGAGGGAAGGTATGAGAGCCCAGTGAATTGAGAGTAGTGAAAGGACCAGTAGAGGGAGCCCCTGAGCAGGCATAGGCAGGGTCGCAGGATCCAGACCTACCTGAGCCGGAGGGCAGCTGAGCCAAGTGAAGCAGGAAGGCATTTTTAGCATGGGGGTAGAGTGGGCCAGGGTGACAGGCACAGAGGAGCACACTGTACCATCTGGTAGGTCATGGAGTGATCATGTGAGGACTCTATGGCCGCACGGTGTACATTTATAACAAGTGGTCTGTATTTCCCAGAGAAGACCAAGCAGCTGCTTTTCCGTGGGGCCCAGGCCTACAGAGCCCACGTGTGGGGCGAAAGCTGTGCCATCGTCAACCTGCCAGCATCCCCGAAGCCTGGCCCCACAGAGACACCCCGAGCTGCAAGGGGCCAGATGCTCATTGGACCTGATGGCCAGCTGATCCGGAGCTGTGCGCAGGCCTCCAAGGCTGGTAAGTGGCTGCCAGCTGTTCTTGTGGCTGTGACCGTGGGAGTGGTGGTAGGAACAGTGCTGTTCTGGAGGCTCACCCTGTATTGTTGAACAGGGTCCAGCTGTTGCACTTGACCTGCGGGTCATCTAAAGGACTCAGCAGTAGGTAGATGGGGACCCTCTGCTTGCATTTTCAGAAAGATGTAGGTGGTCTCATAGCCCCATGTCCTTCCGGCCTCTTTCCAGGGCTGATAGCTTGGTGTTTCTCCTCACAGACCTATCTGGGGCCACATCCCATGCCTGCTCATCGTGCGTGCGAGCTGTGGATGGAAAGGCGATCTGCAGCCAGTGTGAGCGGGCCCTGTGTGGGCAGTGTGTGCGTACCTGCTGGGGCTGTGGCGCTATGGCCTGTGCCTTGTGTGGCCTTGTGGAGTAAGTGCCTTGGTCCATGCAGCCATTCCTCCTGTCCCTCCTCCCAGCATGTTCCGGAAGCCCCAGGATGCCCTGCCGGGGACAAGTGGGTCATTTGATGGTGCTGTTGCTTAATGGATGGAACACAGAGATCAAAGATGCTTTTCCCACATTTATTTATTTATTTTCGGAAGATTTGGTGATCCTTTCTAAAGGAAATCCAAGTTTCACAAGCCAGCTGCTGTCTTTTGTTTTTGTTTTTGTTTTTTTGTTTTTCAAAGTTTTATTGATAAACAGCAATGAGACAGTTTCAAATCAAATCGGAAGTACAGTTTCAACAAATAATACACTGCGTATATTCTTCTTAGTGGTTAATTGCTGTACAAGATGCGGACTTGTGATCCTATTTACAAACACCATTAGAACAAATCATTCTATTCATTAAGAGAATGCAACTATATATCTATCCCAACCTCTTTGAATACACAGATACAAAATGGACATTCATCGGTATACCCCGTTTTTTCTAAGTTCCGTTATTGAATATTATAGGTGTGTAAACTCAGCAAAATATTCTAAAAGAGTCCAGAAGCCCATAATAGCATTGGGTCTTCTGTTTAACTGGCAATGTCAGAAATTATTGACCTGAGTCCCCCACAGCTCAACTTAACAGCATGGCTTTATTTCTTATATTTCATCTTCATACTTTTCTACTGGATGGTTAAGACCAAGGTAAAGCAAGACCTATGCAACAAGAGTTGTAGCTTTTTTCCAGCTGCTGTCTTAAAGTACCTCTTTGGTCTTCTTGATCTTTTAGGGATGGGTAGCTGGTGCTGTCTCATGGATTTGTTTCCCCTGTATTGGGGAACGACTGACACAGGGCAACAAGCGTGTGCTGCGGTTGTGCCGCACATGGGTTTTATTTGTAGGGTTATCAGTTGTTTCTTAATTGGAAAGTGGGTCATTCGCTTAATCTAGTCTGTGTGTGTTTGCACATATGTTTTCTACAGCTGACTAGGTCTGGTACTTACAGGGTGCCTGCAGGGAGACCTCTCCCCCCACAGCTGTCAGGGACCCACCTCGTTCAGTACAGACCCCTGGGACACACGTGGGTGTCCAGCCCCAGCCCTAGAGGGTGGACAATGCAAAGTGCACGTGGAGAAGCTCTGTAGATCTAGATAAAATTAGACTCACTAGATGGTGACAGTAGCTGTGTAGGACTGAAAACCACATCCCCCATGGTAAGCCCTTTCCCTCAAGGCACTCTTCAGTTGGGAAAGATTGAGAAAGTGGGGGAGGAGGGGGAGGAGAAGTGCTGAGTGGGTGGGAGGTGCTGGAGGGAGGAGAAATGGGTCCCTGTGGCCAGGTGCCCAGGTGCATCAGACTGGCATTTGAAGACTGAGCCTTAGGCTACTTATGAAGGTGGGCTCTATTCTGTGGGTTTCATAACCCAGCTCATCTTCCTCCTGACAGGTAAGCGGGAGTGGCAGGGACTTCCCAGCTTCACCTTCCTGGGGAAGAAACAAGCCCAGAGCAGGGCAAGTGGACTAGAGCCACGGGAGCCCTCTGTGTAGCTGGATTCAGGGTCTCCCCGTCCCTGATGCTGGTTTCCTCACATCGCTGCCTTCTGCTCTTCCTGCCCAGACCCGCTGTGGTGTCCAGGGGACTCTGACTTCCCTTGTGACATGCTCCTCCCATGGCCACAGTCCAGGAGGTCAGCTTTACAAATAAGTGACTTGCTTGGGGTCAGTGGCCAGAAGTGGCGTCCTTGGGCTTGGGAGCTGGGCCTGCCCACTGAAGCCTTCTGCCTCTGCCCTGCTGCTTCATTCTGACACACCCTGACTTCCGGGGTCAGGACCCCAACCCCTAGGGGTGTTTGGGCAAGAGGGTCTTCTCTAGCATGGCCCTAGTTTACCTGAGACATGGCCCAGCTGGCCACCATATCCCACTTGTTGACCCTGTAACCCGCCTTCTGTCCCCCATCTTGTAGGCTAGCTGCTGCGGCTGCTCCTTGGCTCCTGTAGCCAATAGCTCTGACTGCTCATCTCGCTGTGTGTCCTTACTGTGGTCATGCAGTGTGTTGCTGTCATGTTTCCTTCAAGTGACCTTTAGAGCCTTGATCATTAGATGTCACTGTGCGTCCAGTGTAACTCTGAGTTCTTGAAGGTTCCTGGGTTAGGCACTGTCCTCTGTGAGACTCAGCTCAGGCCACCATCGGCCTCCAAGGCTGAGTCAGGCTCATCTGGTCAGCTCAGATGGCAGAAATGCACTGTCACCCCTCTGGAGGCCAGAAGCCCAAGGCAGGGTGCCAGCCCGGTGGGATCCTGCAGCGGCTGTGAGGGAGCATCTGTTCTGGGCCCCCTCCTGGCATCAGCTGGCTGCCAGGAAGCCTTGCTATGTGTCAGTGGCCGTGTTCTTTGTCCTTGTGTTTTCTTTCCTTAGGGGTGTTCTCTGTAGGACACTTGTTCTCAGGGTGACATCCTTTCTGGTCATATCTGCTCACCCAGTGGGGAAGGAGGAAAACCCAGATTTCTGAGCCACAGCCCACTTTTGAGCTAGGCCACCCCCTGCAGGACGTTGCTCCCAAATACCCCTAAACTGCCATTGTCAGAAGAGCCCTACGGCAACTAGGCCATGTTCTGAGGAGTCCTGGGCCTGGACAGCAGCGGCCCAGCAGTGCATAGTCGTCGCTAACACGGCTCTTCTCTCTTCCCCTGCATGTGCAGCTGCAGCGATGTGTGTGAGAAGGTGCTGTGCAGCAGCTGTGCCATGTTCGAAGTCTGAGGCCGCGTGTCCACGAGGAGCTTGTGTGTGTGTGTTTTGTACTTTAATGACAGAAGTGAATAAAGCTCTTTATATTTGCACACACAGACTCCCATCTATCAAAGTAAGTGCGGAACATGTCACAGGCCGGTGTCACCTGGGAAGGTGATGGTGACAGCTACAGGGACACATGCCCTGCTCGTCGGCCACCCTTTGTTTTGGCCCTAATAAGCAAGGACAAGCACTGTTTGAACCCAGGACCTGGCTCCAGAAGACATCAATGTGCTGGGCCACCCTGGGGCAGGTTGTTCCCAGACTGCCTGAAGTGCTGCTGTCACACACCTGTCACAGTCTGATGTCTACTGTGCGTCCTTGGATCTGAGTGCCTGAGTACTGGGAGACTTGACAACCCCTGCCTCTAGGAGCTCCAGTGTGGCTGGGGGAGAGCCTGGGCTAGGGACTGAGGTCCTTGTTCTGTTTTGACTGGCCATGGTATTGTGGGCTGAAGGACAAGTTGAGCTGAGGGGCCTGGGGGATGGGGACAGCTCCTCACATATATATCTCTAGGGGCTGCCCTGAACAAAGTGGTCCCCTGACCCCAAGGGCTCAGTGGACATTTGATGTGCCAGCTGGTGTGGAGCTTGGAACTAGGACAGGTTTGAGGCTGAGGGCAGGTACCAGGGGAAAGCCTTCCCTGCTGTGGCATTGGCACGTCAGTCAGTGTCCAGGGGCAGATGATCTGGTCTCAGGAAGGCCACTTCAGAGTGAGCTTTAACCAGGGCCAGTGGGCAGGGGAGGCTACTATGAATGTGGCTGTGGATCCTGTGTGCTCTTCTGGACCTGGAGCATCCTGAGGCCTTCCAGCGTAGCTGGCTTAAGCTCTGTGGCTGATGAGTGCTCCATGCCACAAGTGTTGGAAGCAAGTGGCTGTGGTTACCCTGTGCTGATGTTCCTGTCAGGGCTTGCTTCCTCTCTGGCCTCAGAGGCCCAGAGCCAGTCTCCACCTGCAGGTCCAGACACCCTCTCTGTGCCCACTGCTTGATCACCCCTGACTCCTCTACATGGCCTCTGCCCCACAGTGGCCAGCTCTGTCCCCCTGTGCTCTGCTGGCCTATTGTGTCCCTTCTGCCGTGGGAGGACTCCACTCCAGCATGCTGAGCTCTGAGCAGCTACAGGGCCCGCTCTCAGGCTTGGGCTCAGACAGTACCCACGCCCCAGTGCACAGCTCCCGTCCTTATGCTCTCAAGGCTGAGGGCCGCCTGCCTCACTAGCAGCTGCAGTGGGGGTCTGGAAGCATTAGTGCCACCTGAACAGTACCTGGTGTACAAATTTGTCACCAGTATCTGCTGGGTATCCAACTGGCCTTTGAACAACTAAGGCAAATCATGCACACTCTGGGCAGCAGCCCAAGGATAACAAAGGGGCCCCAAGGCTCGGCATCCAAGCTGAGGAGACAGGGTCGGAGCAGGCCCCTGGGTTTGCACACTGAACACTGGAGGGGATGATACCCTGTGCTAGGAGAATCTGGAAGACAGCAGCAAGCAAGTCCCTTCCCAGCGGAGGGCCAGGAACTCCCTCCGTGGGGTCTGGGCAGGTTCTTGGCAGGGTATGGACCCAGCAGAGACCGCAGTAGCTCAGCAGTTGCCCTGTCCCTTCTCATAACAGCCCTCTGTTGCCGTTTTCTTTTTAATCTAACACCTAGTAAAACAAAATGTACATATCTGGTGTCTCGTAAAAACAAACATGAGGGGGCGGGGGAGATGGCTCAGTAGGATAAGCGCTTGACTGGCAAACGCAAGGATCTGAGTTCAATCCCTGGTTCCGCCAAAAACAAACAAACAAACAAACAAAAAAAAAACATGAGAACATGAAAATGTACTTTACAGTGAGAAGGAAAATCAGTCAGCAGCAGGA